GAATGCAAGGGCTATTATCGTCGACCCACTAACCACTAACCGGTTTTATACATCACCTTCAGAGGGGTACCATATCACAATGTTACCGACACTAGAGAATACCTATTCATGTATTGGATCAATTCATGAAAAATACACAGTGCTATACGTAACGTACATTCAGGCAAAAGAATGGTTTCAAATAGTATTTGAAAATTAGTATTTTCCACTGTCCGTGATGAGAAATATAATATAGGAAGGCGACTTTCACATCGAACAAATAAAATAGATCAGACAACTTTTAATCTACTGAATCACATGCTTTTTAAATCTGTCCTCTATCTAGATCCTTCATTTTCTTTCTCTCCCATGGAACATCTTCAAAAGAAAACTCAAAGGAATTGTTTTGGTTTTTTTTGTAGCTACAGAGTCTATGAAAAAGAATTACACTTGAAAGGGATACTTGAATAGCGTTTGTTCGTGAAGATATATTTGTATGCAGGGAACTCGCAAAAAACCTGCATTTTAAAATATTGACATTTCAACATGATTTTCTTTGAATACCTCCATTAAGATTGGCTAATTGCCCAATCTATGTTTTAGAGTAACATTCATGTAATGGAACCTTTAACAGAAGATTATCCAGATGTAGAAGTAAGTGGATTCCTTGTTCAGCAAGGTTAATTGTCAATATGGCACTTCTCCAAAGACACGAATCTGACAAGAAAATAAGGAAAACAAAAAATAATGTATCAATTATTTAAACATTATGAACCATTTAATGTTTGCTGCCTCAGGCCTAAAACACTCACTGCGTGTCACGCTGGCTCACCAGATGTGAAATTTAAAACTACATGTATATCCAGATAATGTCTGTCTTCTCAATACATGTACTTCAAGCAGAGCTGTACCTGTGTTTCTACATGTACAATCTTTAACCCACGAGAGACAGGGATAAAATAAATGAGCCTCTTGTTTCAAGTTGACCCTGAAGTCAAGGATATTTCTCAAATTTAAAGGGTAACCAAAAACCCTTGTTGAGAGTTAAAGCGCAAGCCTGTTTTACGCATTTTTATGTAATCTAAACAACTTCATGTTCAAATGTATGTACGTAACGATCAAAATGTTGGTTCTTCCGCAAGTTTGTGGTCTTGGTAGTCGGCATTGCATTAGGTCTATGGTGCTCGTTTCAGAAGTGTATTTAAGGTGTTTGTCGCTGATACCTTTGGACCAATCAATTTATTGACTGCGATGGTTAGTTTCTTAATACACGTACCTTGAATCTTGGCCCTTCTGGATAACCAAGCACAATCGGCTGCCATTTCTAAAAGCTCATGCGAAGTCATGTCATGCAGGTACCTGAATATAATACAGAAAATATTTGATTACCAAAGAGCTCAAGCTTTTTAAAAGTTATTTAAATTCCACACGAAACAATTTCATTAAATGTTAAGAAGAACCGTCCAGTTGCAGTTTTGATATGCGCATAATTATTTTATGCGAATACACACTGGGTACACTGTGTTTATACGTCGGTGAAGGGCAAAACCTAATTCGATTCATAATTATTTTGATTAAAGATCCGTTGCCTACGCTACTTTCGAGTTTCACTCCGAAAGTCTAGTTACTTTTTTTCAACTGCTATTTTCCTGCGAAATACAAGTTATTATTTTTGAAAGACATCTAACGATAAAAATTATAAACTTCATTGCATTTTTTCACAACATTCAAGTTAATACCTGCTAAAAAAAATAATCAGCTCTCGCCGGGGAGGTTCACGCAAAATGTGTGGGGTTTTTTTGGTTATTTTTAGAGAGTATTGGGCACGCATCTTTTCTGGCGCATGACTCGACAAGAATGACTTTGTTAAGGCGGACGTGCTAGTATGAACATTTTGAGTTGGAAGGATTTGGATATGCATGCAATGGGTTCACGGTCTTGAATTTTATAGTATAGATAAATTTCATGAATACATAAATTGAATTAATATATGTGTCTGGTGAACGTCAGGTAATCACTTAACAAATTTCGACCAAGGTGTATTTTCAACACATTTTAAAAGTTAATTTCACCATCTAACAGAACATGTATATAGAAGGTCAGTGTATGTTGAATTACTTACAGCAACAAAAGTGAAGAGATGTATGGGGTGGTTTTCAAAACAATTAGAAACTTCCTCCCTCGAAGACTGCTGAAGTTAAAAGTTTAAACATGCCACATCCTGCTGCCAGTGCACTCACGTATAGCATACATGTGTACTGCCTACCTGGAGAAAGTAACGATGTTTTTTAAGGTTGAGAAATATATAAAATTAATCAAGTTTGAACACAGTGTAAATATGATCCCCGTGCTCTTCAACCCACATAAATAATAAAACTAGGCTACAAATGACCCTTTTTAGAAAAGGCTTTTAATAGTTCGCGTATTTTTCATTGATCTTGTAACAGTGCTGACCTGGCCCTGAACCCTACTCCACACACTTTGGTCAAACTCCCATAAATCACGCCAAACCCTGGGAGCTATACGGCCCGAAAGCCCGGATTGAAACTGTATACACTTGTTATGTACAAGCCAACGAAAGCCAGATGACCGTTTATACGTGTACGGTCCTGGTACGTGAACTTTAGGCCTGACCCTTGAGACTAAAATGCTAATGCGCGTTGCTCTTACAACCGTACACTGTGTCTTTGAGCGGGAATTTTATAACGGACTGTTTATGCTCAAATTTGCGCTAGTTTTAGTTGAGAGAAAATCAACTCAGATCTATAAATTAAGAGATACCCCAAGTAACATTTTCACGGTTGCTGGCTCGGGTATTATGGGTATCTCAATACAATATTTTTACATTTTGATTAATTCATCAATTTAAAGGAAAAAATACAAACATAGGCATATACTATAGTACACAAATCAAAAGTCTTCTCGATATAATGTGCACACTTTTGCCATTTTTGCCATTTGCTAAAACAATATCTGTTTTATGTAAAATTATAACTATCGAACAAATAACTTTCCAACCTAAAACGTTGTTAAAAAGGTCTAACATGAATTCGAGTAAATCTGATCCACATGTATAATATTTCCTTGGAATAATACCAAGATTTTATTATCAAATTGAAAACCAGATGACTTGAACGTTTCTTTCAGTGTATGATCTCCAAAACTGTTCGCATTGACCAGCCTCCAATCTCAATTGAGGCACATATTTTCACTCTTAATTAATCTACATTTATTCTGATCGAGTCTGAAGAACATTTTCAACAATTATTAAAAAAAACCAAAGATGATAGGCATAGGAAAATCTTCATTTTTTGACAGCGACTTTGTTCGAAAAGTTGTTTTACTTTAATTTGATCCTTTCGTCAGATTTTTAGACAATGTGTTCGACACAAGAATGAAGTCAAGATACAGAAAATTTCATTCCTACCTTCTAACAAATGCTGTAGTGAAAATAACTTGCTTGGCGACCATGGCTACTTCACATCAACTGGACGGCGAGTCGGCGACCGTTATAGTGAGCTGCTGCTGCTCGATTGCTGACTCAACTGAGCAGAGCAATTCAAATAAGCTATCACGCGGTCTGGACGTGGAATTTCTGCTGATGCGCATGCGCCATGGTAATATTTTCTTTGAGAACAGGAATCATATTTCTAGTTACGTTGGTGTGTGCAATAAAGTACATGTATACATTGAGTATTCAACAATGAATATGAGCGGGAAGCTGTCGCGCTTTGACCACGATCTCATCCATCTTAGACCATTAGAAAAATATCTGGAAACATTATATTCCTACTACGACAAAACAAACATGATGATGTTCGAAATTTCATGAGTTACATTATTAATGCAAGGCGGCACCCAAATGTTAATTATTATCAAATAAAACATCATTAATTAAAACATATTATGTTCACTTCACATTCAGTAAATCGTAATCACAATGTTTTTGTCAATACCACAACAGCATGGATCGTAACGCACAGCATAATTGCAACTTAAATTCAGTGTCAAAACACCTTTATAAAACGTTACAGCAACGTGAGCTCTCAACATAACACAACATGAAAATACCAAACTGCAATGTCACGACAACATGATATTTACAACTTAACACACCATTATGGTGAGACTTTTATGCAACGTCATCATAACGTCATGAACACAGCAACATGGTGTAAATTGTTATCTACAACGTCATGACAACGTGAGAATAACAACATACCAACAACGTTGTGAAAGTACCCACGTACAATGTTACAACAACGTCATGATTTTTACATCACCGCAACGTTTTGAAATACTTAACTACAACGTCGTGACAATGTGATTTTCACAACTGAAAAAAAAACGTTATAAAATAATGTAGATGGAACGTTAACTCAACGTCATGATTATAACCTCACAGCAACGTTGTAAACATTCTAAATTACAACGTTCTGACAACGTAACATTGACAACTTAAAAACAACGTCATGAAAACACCTACATTTAACGTAACCACAACGTCATATTTATTGCTTTATTACAACGATTGTGAAACGACCACCATACAACGTCAATACAATGTCATATGATGACTTTCGTACAACGTTGTACAAATTACCAATATACAACATGTTTACAACCAACAATTATACAGTCAAACGTTGTGTCAACGTTGCTTGAATGTCATCGTGACACGTTACCAAATGACAACATTTTCACAACTTTGCACAACGTTGTGGCAACGTGATGTGTTAGCTGGGTATGGCCTTCAATTTTAATACCAGTGGCTACAAAACAAAACAAATTATACAGTACATAAACAATTACCATTTGTTGTTCACTTCAGTCAAATGTTGATTTTACAGTTCATTGAACAAAATCATCATTATCATCGGGGAAACAAATTGATGGTAGTGAAAGTTGACCTGTCATTGTTCCCATGCTGGGAGGTCCAGGGGAAAACAATCCTTGGAAGTGACCCACCCAGTGACCTTGGGGGGCCAGCCTGGGAGAGAGATTGGCAAATGTTTGGCTTATGTTTCCCAACCAGGCCTCGTGGGGTGTCACTGAGAGGTCACGAAAAAAATCAGGCGTTGCCACTGTAGTGTTGAAATACAGTCGCATCGTTTAGGGCCATTTTGAAGGAGCGAAGTGTGTGTTTCAAGAGGAAGTGGTTTTTGTTTTCTTCCGAGACCTCTCTATCCCAATTGATTTCCTGCATATGGTGCTGATAATGAGATTGGAATGTAATATGAGGCGATGACTGCTTGTGGTGATTGTTGAAATGTGAGTTGTTGTTTTTATCTGGTTCTTGAGAAACCGGGTACTGCTGGTGCTTTTCAGTACTCGGGAGAGGGTTCATATAAGGCCATTATACGACAGATTGTGAGCACAAATACTTGAGTGTATACACATTATGCTTGTGGTACATGTGAAAATCACAATGCTACATTTCGAAAACTCTGCTATAAATCTTTTTATGCGCTGTCATTTTTCATCTTGATGTGGTATTTTGTTGGAGAAAAAATACCTGTCCAGAATTTTTTGTTCATCAATCGTCATTAATCGACCACAGAGCAGGGGGGAAAAATGGGTACAGTGTGGATAAAGTGCCCACACCCGCATACCCATACCTGCTGCTATGTTTGTGTCCACTGACCAGGAGGAGTTTTCTCTTCTAAAGTGATCCGATTATCCCATATTTTCTTCACAGGTTCCATCAGTGAATTACTATTAGGAACACAAGGAGCAAATTGAAGTTTGCGGTGGATACAGTGCTGCACTGTATAGTGTCGTCAGTCATGGCCTCCATTGTGAGCAGTCACCTTGCTGTGTTGTGCATGTGCTTCAGCATATGCCTTGCCACTAATGGTAATGATCGCAAAGTTGACATAAAGGGGAAAAAAGAGTTAGATGAAATGTTACCTATGGCAGTTTAATTTATAACTTGAGTCACCAATTGAAGCCACAAAAGCTGCTTGTTATTTATGGTAGGCTTATTTATGACTATTCATCGACTGCCATTGTTGAAAAAAGTCTGGTCAAAACCATTTGATGCGTAAAAACTATCTTTACACAGGCGAATGTTGTGAATTGCGCATTTGCTGTCGAGAAAATACTAAAATGCCCACTTCTGTTGATGTGGTTTTCAGAAAAATAGGTTGCTTGACAATTGTACATTAAATTGCAGTGGGATTGAATATAACGAGTGCATGATAATCTTATTTTGCATTGTTGTGTTTTATTTCCTATTATTTTTAGGAACATCTCTGCAGCTGCAACCTTCCCCATCACCAGCATTAATGCCAGCATCTATTGATCTATCAGGTAATTTTATTGGTTGAATGATTGATGGATTAAATAATCTGATTTTATATACCTTGTATCTTACTCATCCTAAATAACCTGATCACAGGTCAGTAATGTCTTATCTCATCACTACCCAGTTTTTTTAATACTCTGTGACTCAGTCAGTGTGTCAGTCAGTTATGGACTTACTGAGTAAGTCCATAACTGATTGTAGGACATTAGGCTAGCCCCTCATGTCCAGCAAAAATGAAAAATTCTTTAATATCTATGTAAACTTTGTAAGCATATTTTTAACCACCAGTTAGGCCACACAAAAAAAATATTCGGTCTCTGGTCAGACCAAAGTTCCGGAATTGATGCGGCCACGCGGCTTTTTTTGGGGGGGGCTTTTTTTTTTTTTCTTCAAGCTTGGATTGTACAGACAAGGTGGGGTACTATTTTGCTTTTTTGGTGTCCTCATGTACATTGGTGTCCTCCATAATTTGCCTTGGTGCTTTTGATCATTTGCCTTGGTGCAATTTCCCATTCCTTGGTGCTCTTTGGTAAAAAAAAAATTGAGGAGGGGCGGAAATAGAGGGCGCTGTTGGAGCTACCGCGGAACATTTTTGAAAAAAAAAGATCGACGCGCATGATTAAAATCGACGCGCGCGCTGACCAGAGACTGACTTTTTTTTTTGGGCCTTAGTATGATTTTTTTTAAGTGTACTTACAATTACATATATCTTTGCAGGTACATCAGGGTATCAAATTCTTGCCAGTTCTTCAGTCGTTGCCATCCGTCCCCAGACGTCTATCTTGCCATCAGGACCTCAGTCATTTCAATCCACAAGAACACTGCCATCATCCCAAAGTCTGCTCCCCATGCCGACGCCAACGGTGCACCCCACACCCACCCCTTCATCACTGCCCTACTCTACCCCCCAAGCAGAGGTACTACACACCCCTACTCCATCACCAACTCTGTCCATGGGCCTCGAGTCACCAGTGACATCAACGATGACAGATTTTCAGACATCGCGGCTGATCAATGCATCACAGTCTGACCAGTGGCAATCCTCATCTGCACTGATTCCGCCTCCCCCAGTACCGCCCCCTTTCCCAACATCTTTGGTTAACATGACTGAGGGGGTCACAGATGGGTTTTTGACATCTTCACCAGTGACAATGACGATGCCAGGGTCATCGCAGCAGATGACAATGACAGTCCCATCAGACATGGAGACTCCAGTGCCATTTGTGACCTCGACCAGCTATGAAACAGTGACCATGCTTGTGGCAACCCCATTGGTTTCACACACTCCGCAAACCATGTCCATTGGACCAAGTATGACTTTCAAACCCATGGCCACTCAGTCATTTGTCATGAACACAGTGGAACCAACACTGAGTTCTTCAGACCCAACGCCTACACCATCTGTGATTCCATCTTCAGAACCATGGGATAATGACACCCTTCCAACCAGTGAGACTACGCAAAGCACTGACCAGACAACTTCAAACGCCACAGTGGAAGTCCACACTGCTCCGCCCAAACTCACCCCTGTCCAATGCACAATGACCCTGAACGGGGACTGCAACCACATAAAAAAACAAGAGCAGCTTTTCCAAGAAGAGTTTGCCAAGTTCATAGCAGACCTCCTGAAGATGGACGTCAGCAGGCTGACTGTTCAGGAGATCCGTTGCGGCTCGATCATCGTAGACTTCACAATTCAAGACACGGAGGAGGAGGCCCTGGCGGAAGATCTCATGATCATGGCAGGTGAGAGTGACTTGGAGTTCGTATTCGATAACCAGAACTTTACGGTCACTAATGCTGTAATCAGCACTCCCAAGCCCACAAAGAAACCCCCGGATGGCAAAGGTGGGTTGACATTCATTGAGCAGCAGCGCTTGATCTACATCGTGATTGGATCAGCCGCTGGAGTCGTCATCTTGATCTCTATTATCCTAGTCATCCACCACCGGGCTCGGAAGTCTTGCAGCACCCACGCTCAGTCCTTTGACATCCACGATGAGCCCCACATCAAGCTGTCGGACTTCAACATGGCGCATACTTACATTCCGAGGCCACGCAGCATCTACGGTTCCAGACTTGGAGCCGATGGTGTCTACCATGCCAACAGTGGCAACGGCAGCCTGCATCGCGGTGGGCCAAAAAGCCCAACCCCGTATGTGTATGCTGACGATGAGGCCATACGGGAGCACTACCATGAAGTGGTTACCAGGGAGCCGAATACCAGGATGAGTCAGGATTTTGGACGGAGTGGTGTACCAGAATTGAACCTGCCAAAGCTAGAAGGTAAGACATGTGTTAGAGGTTTCCACTTCCTGCAAGCTCAACTATGAATTGAGTGCATTGAATTATATTATTGCTAGGTAAGGGCTCAATGCAAAAGTCTCTCTTTGTAGTGAGCATGTGAAATTATTGTCATTTTGGTTGAATTCTCTGGTTGTCAGACAACCGAAGGGATTAGCGTGAATCAGACCCTAACTTCAACACCATAAAATGGTCTCTAAAGTTTGATATAAGATTCAGGATGACATGCAGATGGACCTCAATTTTGTTTATTAATTTTTAGTTTTAATGATTAAAAACAGCCTTTCATATTTTTATGGTCAGGTGTTTACATAGCTGGTCAGGATGAGGAAAACGCTGATGAGTCTCTCCTGAGACCCCTCTCCCAACGTAGAGGCAGTGATGGCAGCACAGTCAGTAGACTATCAGCAACGTTCCATGCCCCTCCCGACCCTCCATCTGAATCGCCCCCAACCCCACCCCCGCCAAGCCCTCCACTAACCCTAACTCCACCTCCTTCCCCAGGGCTCGATCCGCCCACTTTAGACCTTCCACCTCCCCCTCCCCTTCCCCCACCCACCCCGACAATGTCATCGACCCCACTAGCGGCACGGTTGTCGCAGGTCAGCGATGGTAGTTCCTCCGAGGCGACAATCTCCATCCCCGGGGACACCAGCTTCCTCCTGTACAGGGGCTGTGACTACGACCCCCAACCCATGGGCATCGATAATCCGTCCTACGACAGGTGCACAGCCAGTGACCACGAAGGCGCTGTAAAGGGTCAGAGGGCGCCAAGCTTTTACAGCATGACAGCCCCTGCATCTGTTTAGCTCAAAAAGGTATTTGTGGCTTCCACGCTGCCAATCCAAGTCATGACCTTCCCTGGAAATCAAGTAACATGTTTCTCAACATTTGGGTGGCAGGCAATTGTTTTTCAGAGTACTAAAGAATGGCACTTCAGTGACCAATGTAAAATCTGTACAATTTTTTTTAACTTTCTTCTTTGTGTCACGTTGCACACAATGATTTGTTAGCCAATAGGATGATAAACTGGAGCTGAATTTGAGATTTCTTCCTGGAAGAAGCTGTTGGGAGTCTTATATAGAAATTGACTAATAAGTACTAATATTATTTTGGTTAGAAATGAAAACAGTGCAAGGAGATGACCAAGTTTAGTTTTCCTTTATTTTCTTTGAACTTCATGAACATTTACATACATGTGTGCTGGCCTGAGTGATATATATTATATATAATCCTAATATAGGACTGATATTAACTTAAATATCTTTCACAGTGAAGATGCACCATTGGCTTTTATTCTGAGAACAAATGTGAACTACAAAAAAAAGATTAGACACTCTTTTGTAATATATTTTCTTAGCACCTGATGTACTGTTCTTATTGTCTGATGTACCGGTACTTGTCACTTTTTGGAGATATTTAACCACTGTGCCTATATGTTTTATGTGTGTGATCTAAACTTTGTAAATACCGTCCACAAATCCATTTGTAGTGTTTTGCACATGTCAAGTTTTATTCGAATTTTACTTTGAAACCATTGTCATTTTGGGCTGAAGACAAGGGTCTGTCTGTTTCACAAACTTTTGGATCAGTTATTTCAGTTTCAGACAAATGGGTCGCATAGTAAGTTCCTCTGATGAGTCAACATACCATGGTGCTGTTGAATTTCCAGTGGGAATCTGTATACCAGTGCGACCACAGTGATCGGATCTAAATTGAAGTTTGGCTGAAACCAAGGATAACTCAAAAAATTCAGAATGTCCCATTGGGAAAACTGATTTGCGTAATAAACAGCAATTTCACAAAAGATATTTAGTGTGTAAGACTGTTAATGTAAGTTAGATCTTAACTGATGAAAGTCATTTAATGTGGCGTAATTTGTAGCATATAGATCATAAATGGATACATTTTTAGCATGCACGTGCATATGTGAAGGTTCTCATATGGGAGTACATGTACCTTAAAGATATAGTCCATCATTTGTAATTTGTGCATTTTGTTCGTTTGAAGCAACAAAAGTGTTCAAAATCTAATGAAGGATACTGAACAACTAACCTGATGAAGTTTCAGCTCAGCTTCAGCTGTATATTCCGAGAAAAACAGCATTCTAGGATCTCAATTTCAAATCAAAAGTTACTGAATCATGTTTTGAATTGTTTTGAATTGCAGCTATACGCGATGTCGTGCACTGATCCGACAAATTATAGCAACCGCGCGCGCCTGTGCGTCGTTCCAATGCTTGCGCGTGCTGCCCCGAATAACAAAACGAACTACTAATTTAAATTTTCCTACAGTGCGTCTTAAGACGCACCGTTGGAAAGGCCTTCTTTTGTTGATTACATGTACTTCAAAATGATAGCTTGCCAGAAAGATTAATTTCACAGGGAGTTTAGTCCACTTACTATCTTTCAACCAAGTATGTTTTATAATACGCCAGTTACTTTTTCGGATGGCTGCAAATGATGGACTGTAGCTTTAAGTTCCCAGGCTGTGCCAAGTGAGAACACTATGTGTTCCCGTTCGCAAAACGGGCAGTATTCCCAGAAAAATGTTCCAAGTTTTCCGCGTTCAGAGATGCTGCCTTCACTCCAGAAAATCAGGGTAAATCGAGGTTAGCATTATACGCTGCTATCTCAAAGTATCGTTTTCATCAGTGATTTACACGTATTAAAAAGAAATTGCCAGTTTGTTAATCTCTTGCCTTGTTGGTGTCCAAGATCAAGAGGCAAAAGTTGCTGCCCTTTTATGTTTCTTGGAAAGTTTGTATTTAAATACACAAGGTGTGCTTTGACTTGTACATGTAATTAGAGAACAAATCCGTCTTTTTGGGTCAGGTCATTATATGATGTCATTGGCTTTAATGTTTACAAGCATATACAGTTACAGATAAAATGTCAGGGTTTTTTTGGGGGGGGTGGGGGTAGTTATTTGAGTACTATTTATTTGTGTGAGAGGGCATTTTGACAGATTTAAAATCGTTTATGAGAATCTTTGTACTGACTTAAACTTTTGAGAGGCTTTTTGCAAGAGTATCTGAGTAGGTAAAGAGGCTTTTGTACCAGTGAAACTTATATATTTTCAAACTGTAATATTCTGTGTACATTTTTGCACTGGTATTTTGGAACTAAACTATTTGCACCAAAGATATGGCTTTTTTTTCATCGGATATTTTTTTTTATGTGCTGGGACACGTTTTAAAAGACAGTAAGTACTAATTGGATTTGTACAGGATTATGAACTATTTTTTTTTCAAGAACTGACGAAAGCTATTTTGAGAAACAGTTTTTCTGTGTAAAACAGTTAATCCACTTATTTCCCTGAATATTTTTATGTACAAGTTTCAGAATGGGAATTGTTTTGGATGAAGAATCTCTTCCAATGTACTTGTGTATGTGAGTGTATGTTATTCCTAAGCTTTAATGCATGTGAAAGGTTTTCACAGTAATTTTAAATTTGTTAATCACCAAATGCACTCCAAAATCACAAGGATCAGTTTGAACAAGTAATTTTTAAACAAATATTAGCTTTGATTACTACAAAGATGATATAGATTTGTAGTTTATGATAATGAAAAAAATGTTGATGTAAGGCTGCTTAATGTTCCAGGGAAATGATGTTATAGACAAAACAAATTGAGTACAACTCCAAACGTTTGTCATGATGATACTAAAGAACAAAATGACCAAATAAGATGAAAGCACTGGTTCTTCCAAAGAAATTGATTGTGTGCATGTACTTGCTTTAGGGGTTTGTAATCATTAGAATTTGGTACAAAAACTACATTCCTAAATCAAACAGAGTTGATGGGTTGGTATTGAACATTTTGTGTCATAAGTTTGGAAGATGCAAAGCGAGAAGGAAAGTGTTTGTATGATGATTTTCAGTTTTAAGTTTAAATGGCAAGAAAAAGAAGAAAAGTCTTGTTTAAAATAACGGTGGTTTAGAAATGTGTAGAAATGGACCTTTCTTTTAAAGACGATTGAGGCTTTTAAGAACAAAAAAAACCCAGGTGTTTATTTGTTTACTTTTCAATTATTTAAATAGATTTTCTTTGACAATCTTGCCAATTTCAAGTATAAAATTCCAGTATTTAACTTGGTCTTAATCATTGTTTTTTTTTCTGTGTGCTGTAAGCTGGCTCCACTTATTTTACAGCCAATGATTGTACGATCTGTTACAACTCAGATTTTGTTTTTGTGTGATGAATGGAAAAGTTAACAGGTTTTTTTATGTGAACAAAATATATATATATTTACTTCTTCCAGCTTGCAACAACTCAAAAATCTGAACAATGACAATCCGCTTTAGGGGGTTAACGGCTGAATAAATCCAAGTGTGCTCACAGAACTTATTGGAAATGGTATCTGTATTGAGTTTGTTGAAAAGTATTGTGTACATGTTTTTCTTACTTTTTTGGGGGGGGGGAGGGGAGGGATCGCCTCGTTCTGTGGCATCATGTCGCATTTCATGCTCTGTTGGGTTCCCTTCCCTTAACGCCTCCCAATGTCCCTCATTTACTTAGAACTTTTAGAAGCAAAAGAAGGGCACTTTTTGTTTGCACTCTCTAGAAAATGTGTTTCTCCCCTAATTGCCCACCCATGCAAATTGGACCGGGGTTGCATCACTTGTTCCAGCCTCTTCTGTCTGCCCCATCTTGTCTCATTTCTCCGTCTTTTCTCTCTATCCGGTCTTGTTTCTGTGCTGTCTTCTCAATCCATGCTTAGTTGTCTTTTCAAGCCTGTCCGGCTCCATCTCATACTGTCGTGACCATCTAGTGCCACCATCTAATCTGAAGTTGCTTTTCTTATTTTGTACCATCTTGTTTCATTCTTTTTTTTCTGTGCCTTCTTGTTCCATCATGTATTGTCTTGTCTGTTCCAGAATTTTTTAAAACCTGTCTTGTCCCATTCTGGCTCATTCGTGTCATCTTGGCTAATCCCAAGCCATCTTGTCTCTTCCTTTTCTGGCTTGCAGTCTTGGTTGTCTTGTCTTGTTTAATCTTATGCCATCTTGCCTGATCCCTTTCCATCAAGGCTTATCCTAAGCAATCTTGTCTCAACCCATGATGTCTTGTCCAAAACTGAGTCATTTTGACTCGTTCATGCCGTCTTGTCCAATCCTGTGCCGTCTTGTCATATCCTGAACTGTTAGTCTCTTCCAATGCCATCTTTTTTTTCCAATGCCATCTTGTCTCTTCCTATGCAATCTTGTTTCTTCACATGCCATCTTGTTATTTTTTGCCTCATACCATGCCATCTTGTCTATCCCTACCCATGTATCAACCCATTTTGTATTCTCTCAGCCTGCATCCTCTTGTGTCATCATTTGCCATCTTGTCTCATCCCTTGCCATCTTGTCTCATCCCTTGCCATCTTGTGTCATGATGGCTGTCTTGTCGTAACCTGTATCGTCTTATCCTAACCCTGTACCATCTTGTCTTACCTAGTGCTGTCTTGACTCATCTTAAAGCCATGCAATTTCATCCCTTTCCATCTTGGCACATTACGTGCCATCTTGTCTCATCCCTTACAATCTTGTCTCATCCTGTGCTGTTCTGTGCCATCTTGTCTTATCGCTGCCCTTTTGTCTCATTTTGGCTGTCTTGTCTCAACCTGTTTCCTCTTATCCCATCCCTTTGCAGTCCTGTCCTTTCCAGTGTTGCCTCATCTTAATTCCATCTTCTCATATCCCTTGCCATCTTGACACATCCTGTACCATTGTGTCTCATCCTGTGATGTCAGGATCCATCTTTTTCTTTCTTGTCTCAACTCTGCTGTCTTGTCTCTTTCTGTGCCATCTTGACACATTCTGTGCAAAATCTTGTGCTGCAATGCCATCTTTTGCTCTTTTCTCTCGTCACATTCTTTGTTTTCTTGTCTCAATCCACACCATATTGTCTCATTCTGTGCCACGCCTGATGTTATCTTTTAGCCCTCTTGCATTGTCTCTTCCTGTGCAATTTTGTTTTCCATGCCGTCTTGTCGCATCCTGTGCTGTCTTGTCTCATCATGTGTTTTCTTGTCTCATCCTTTGCTGTCTTGTCTCATTCTGTGTGGTCATGCCCCAATATGTGCAATCTTGTATTATTCTGTGATATTGTGACCCAGCTTGTGTAATCTTATCTCATCCCAAAGTGTTTTTCCTTCCACGTGGCCTATCTCACGTCATAGTCCATCTTGTGCCTTGTCTCTCGTCTTACTCTTCGTTTTCTTTCCATTTTTTCCTGACTTGTCTCATTATGTACCCTGTCTTCTTTTCTCGATCCATGCCCTTTTGTAAATGTTGGTTCCTGTGCCATTTTTTCTCATCAACAACTGTCTTATTTTGTTCGGTGCTGTCTTGTCGCATTCTGCACTTATTGTCTCTTCCTGTACCATGATCTACAGTCACACAGCTCACTTTCCGATTTCTTCCTTTGCCTTCTTGTCTCTTCCTTGGCCATCTTGTCTCATCCTTTGCCATGTGGTTCCACCCTTTGCCATCTTGTCTCATCCTTTGCCATCAAGTCCCAGCCTTCAGTTTGCCATCTTGTCTCATCCCTTTCCATCTTGTCTCATCCTTTGCCATCTTTTTTGTCTCACCCCTCGCCATCTTGTCCCATCCCTTGCCATCGATGTATCAGCCTTTGCCATCTTGTCTCATTCCTTGCCATCTTGTCTCACCCCTTGCCATCTTGTCCCATCCCTTGCCATCTTGTCTCATTCCTTGTCATCTTGTCTCATCCCTTGCCATCTTGTCTCATCCCTTGCCATCTTGTCTCATTCCTTGTCATCTTGTCTCATCCCTTGCCATTTTGTCTCATCCCTTGCCATCTTGTCCCATCCCTTGCCATCTTGTCTCATTCCTTGCCATCTTGTCTCATCCCTTGTCATCTTGTCTCATCCCTTGCCATCATGTCTCATCCCTTGTCATCTTGTCTCATCCCTTGCCATCTTGTCTCATCCCTTGCCATCTTGTCTCATCCCTTGCCATCTTGTCTCACCCCTTGTCATCTTGTCTCACCCCTTGCCATCTTGTCTCATCCCCTGCCATCTTGTCTCATCCTTTACCATCGTGTCTCATCCCTTGCCATCTTGTCTCATCCCTTGCAATCTTGTCTCATCCCCAGTGGCGTAGCAAGGAATTTTTCAGTGGGGGGGGGGGGGGGGGGGGGGGGTCGGGGGGGGGGGCACTAGGGAGGCTGGAACATTTCATGGGGGGGGGGCATCATGTAGATCAATAATAATTTTTTATAAACTCAAAATCTCAGTGGGGGGGGGGGGCGACTGGGGGGGGGGGGCGACAAGGTTTTCATCCCTTGGCATCTTGTCTCATCCCTTGCAATCTTGTCTCATCCCTTGCCATCTTGTCTCATTCCTTGCCATCTTGTCTCATTCCTTATCATCTTGTCTCATCCCTTGCCATCTTGTCTCATCCTTTACCATCTTGTCTCATCTGTTGCCATCTTGTCTCATCCGTTGCCATCTTGTCTCAGCCCCTGCCATCTTGTCTCATCCCTTGCCATATTGTCTCATCTATTGCCATCTTGTCTCATCCTTTGCCATCTTGTCTCATCCTTTGCCATCTTGTCTCATCCTTTGTGTCCTTTTCTCATCCCTTGCCATCTTGTCTCATCCATCACCACCATGCATATCTCATCCCTAAATGCCTCCATGTGCCATCTCTGCCATCTTGTCTCATCCCGCCTTGCCATCATGTCTCATCCCGCCTTGCCATCATTTACTTGGTGTTATCCTCTTCAGAACTCCTCGAGGATGTCTCATCCTTCACCATCTTGTCCCGTCCTTTGGTATCTAGTCCCTTCATTTGCTATCTTGTTTCATAAGTACGACCTTGACTCATCCTTTATATTATAAATAATAATAGTCCATAAATTAAGGCTTGACGAAACTTCGCCGTAGTCACGGCAGCACCAGGGGCCTAAAAGTTTCCCAAATCCAAAGCTGAAACGAAGCCGAAGTTTCGAAAATCTATAGCATGGTACCCCACCACCATTCCTTTTCAGAACGATAATTTTATAATTCCAGATGAACTGGGAACCAGTCTATACTCAAAGCAGGGCTGCGTTCCGCTCACGCGAACGTTGCCAACATTCGCATTGTTCGCGGAGCGGAACCACTGATCTCTATATAAAGACTGGATAGCGGATGTGCATACAACATTCACACAGTAGACTTTGCATATTGACCACTTCGCCCCCGGTCTCACGAAGATGGCCGCGTATAATACGAACGTTCTACGCGTAAATACGCGCGCGTTGTATCAACAGTTGACGCGCATTTTAGTCACGTACACATATTATGATGTTCTAAAAGGGACACATTTCCGTAGTGATTATTATTTCAAAACGCTGAAAAGGTTATATTTGCGGCATTTTAGTAACCACGACGTTAGACAAATTGTAGTTAACTTTGGTCAGTGATGGTGGTCAAAATATAAGTCAAGTGAACCGCGACGTTACAAAAGAAATCATGCTGTCTATAAAAATGACAACTTGTCCTTTGTAGATCACCAGCCGGTCTCACCAATATGGCGTCAAATTCGTACATTGTGCGGCTCTTTATTAGCTATCCAGTCTTTATGTAGAGATCAGTGAGCGGAACGCGATGTGCGCCAATAATGTTGGCAAACGTTAGCGAAAACGGCGAACGACGTCAAGGGGCCGTTCGCTGTTGGCTGGTGACGTATATTTAAAGATGGCGGACAGGTAAGCAGACGACAGTTTTGTTTTGAGTCATGTCAGTGTGACAAAAGTGATGAAGTTTAGTATTTTTTCGTAGAGTAGGCCGAATCACGGGCATTTTTTTTGGTCAGAGAAGCAATGACTTGGGTATTAATGACGAAGAAAGCACCAAGTGTCGTAAATTTAAGTTGTAATCGTGGCGAAAAGGGAACAATGTGTCGCCTGTCAAATATTAATGTCGTCTGCAAACATTAGCCTTTAGGCCTATGCTATGGATCATGGACCGGACATATCGACATGGTGCTAGGAGAACTTGGCCGTAGTTTGCTTTTCCCCTCGTAAATTGAGTGAAATACTGACTTTCTAAATTAAATTCTATTCTCATACTCAACATATATTAGCAGTGGACATGGTGGATACAGTTGGCAATTTTGCGCGTGAGCAAAAAAAATAAAAATGTTCTAAACATATGGCCTATACCCCAAAACCAATTGCAAACCAGTCATTGCCAGTCCTTTTTTTATTTTTTTTTTTTATTTACTTTTTACTATATTTTTTTCTAGATTGAGTAAAGCACATTTTTCCCCGGTAAATCCCTGCACTTTTCCAGCACATTCTTGATATATTTTTTTAAGTTTTTTTTTGAGTAGGCCTAATCAGCAATAGGCCAATGACCTAGCGCATCTTTTTCTTTCTTTTTCTCTTTTTTTTTGGGTCGCTTTTCTGGTGGGCCTTGCCACCCTCCCCCCTCCCCTTGCGATGCCTTTAGGAGGGGGCCCTCTAGGTTTCTTACGTTGTATTTTTCAGAGTTAAAAAAAAAATTGGGGTCTTGGAAGATAATTTAGTGGGGGTCTTGTGTTTTAACAACGGTGCAGCGGCCATTTTTACCTGTGGTATATTACTCAGACACTGGTTGTCTGACACCATATCCAATTAAAGGGAATCCTGCAAATATTGCAGCACATTTTACTGACAATGATACAACTACAAATGTTTTTCCATTTAAAAAAAGTTCAGCAACATACCATGCTGCTTCATTTATTAAATCTAATTTTTACTCCCTGAAATTTGCAGTTTCTTTCTTGGAGAATAATTACCTCATGTCACCTGTGTATTGTTTCCCTATGCCCAGTTACTACAAGCAATTGTGCATTAAACTGCCAAACAGATCAGAGGCAAATGTCGTAGACAAACCAACTTATGTTGCCGCTATTGAGAAAAATGGTGAGTATAATGCGCCTACCAATTGTTTCCCCCGCCGGGCTGCCCCACCCAAGACGTGGAGATTGTCACTTTTGAAGTGACAAAATCCCCAACAGTCCTTGGGCAAAATGGTAACAGTGTTATTTGAGTGACCATTTGAGTGGGGGGGGGGGGAACATTTGGTAGACGCATAACATGAACTCAAAGCCTTAATTGAATTTTGAAATTATTGGCCCATTGCAGTTATCACCTAATTTTGAAAGGTATTGTCTGGAAATCAGGTCCTTGTTTTTTTTCACAGAGATCAAACACTACGGGAGAATTATTTAGGCAATTTTGTCTTAGTCTCACATGGAGGCAATGTGCATGTAATAAACTAAAACACTGTAGACAAGCATACCCTGAACTTGAGCAAGAATATTTTTGTGAAATATTTAACATGACTGCTTTCATTTACAGATCATGCTGTATTGCAAGAGATCATACAGAATGTCACGCAGCTTCCTCTACTGGTAAAAGGTAATTACAGAAAGCAACCAGACAGTCACAAAACAACTTCAATTTACCCTTGACATATTGCACTTAGTAAACAAACCAAACATGATTTAAAGTAGTCCATGTACATGTACATGTATAACGTAGCAATCGGTCAACATTAAAACAAGGAAGCAATTAAATTGTTGAGAGTGTAGCTTCCATTTGACCGTTAAAGAATTGCTTGATTATCAGCTTATATCAGACACTCTCTTTCTCCATGTTTCGCATTTGTATTGAGTCAATCTCCAAAGTTGTTTTCCAGCTTTATTACAGTCTAGGTTGTAATTTGTCAAAACAATGCTCATACAGTATATATTTCAACCCATTTGCCTATTTTCTTTTAGATGTGCAGGATAAAGCCCCAGCCATGCCAGCTGCAAGCGGCAGTGATTATGAAACATCTCAAGGAAATGCTAAAGCCCTAGCCATGCCAGCTCCAATCTGCAGTGATTATGAAACATCTCAAGAAAATGATGATGCTACACTAGCTCCCCTGGCCCAACAGGACACATCCAAAGTGCAGAAAGGTAGCTACAATTTTATATTATGTATTAAAGTTGTTGCCTTTGATCTGACTGAAAATGTCAATTAAGTAGATTTTCTCCAATATACAATTCATAGAATACTTGCCTTCAACAAAAAAAATCTTAACTACAGATGCAATACTTTCTGTTTATTGCTACTTGCTGTTGATTGGTGTTAGCTGCATAATGATATGACCACAATTGGTGAGAAAGGCTATTGAGACAGCAATAGCAAGCATAATTGGACTGTGACCAGCATCTACGCAATAACCAATTACTCTGGGAAGTAAAACATAAATGCTTTGGATAGAAGAATTTATTGAAAAACATGATGGTAAGTCAAGGTAGAAATTCAGTCAACCATGAACATATTGTGCTATAAAGCAACAGACTACTTTTGAAAAAGGATATCTCTTGTATAAATAAACAGCCTTTTCTGTTATCATGTTGGCTTTTGTCGTAAGTCATTACCTTTTGTATATTTTTGTTAACAATTTTTAATTTATTTTGATTCATTTTTAATATTTTGATTTTTTTAATTTGTTTTTGCCCAAAGAAGAGAAATTTCAGTGGACCCACAAGCGTGCGTTGCTTCTGATCGAGTCGTATCGCTGCCTGAAAGATAAATTTGACAGTAGTGCCATACGGAAGAGCCAAGCTTGGAAGATGGTGGCCGAGCGAATGAGAGCGAAGGGAGTTGATGATGCAACAGGCAATATCAGTGAGAAATGGCGGAGCCTGAAATACAGGTTTGTGATTATTGATGTCTGGAGATTGGAATAATGCAACAAGTCTTTTTTAAGCTCTGGCAGGAGTTTCTACATGTACATGTCACTTCTTTACCAAATGCAATGTCGTCGTCAATACACTCTTGCCTGTACCGTACCCCCTGCGGCGCGCTCCGAGCGAACCGAAAATCATCGCTCAATCATATGCGTGCACGTTTCAAGTGTCAGGTTGGCTCAGTGCGGAAAGGGCATATTTTTCATCATTTTGGCCTAAAAAGCGACAGAATCCACCTATGTTAGTTCTGCGCATGATACGTGAGTATGTCAAGAGATAAAGTACGGAGTGTAGGGGCAAACTGTGCAGCGGTTCTGTGTGAAATGTCTCCATTTTGATGGACGTTTTTGTACTTTATTAGTGTTTTGTGCTGCAGGCAATTTTGCGGGCTTCTTGATCTATGAGGCTCCACTACGTGGAGCCTCATAGTTCTAGGAGTAGCCTAGGCCTAGACCCATGAACAGGGCTATATACGTTGTATACAACGCCACGTTCCCGGGTCTAGCCTAGGCCTACAACAAGGCTACATGTATGTCATACAAAGGGCAGGGTTTTGAATTTTTGAGGGAAATTTGGGGGTGAAATGACAATGACAATGAATAAACGAAAATAAAGATGCGATCACCGCGCAATGTACCGTGAGCACGCAAGTCGCACTGCAGGGGCACCAACCGGCCTGCAAACAACATAGGAAAATCATAATTTCTACCCCAAGAAACTGTTCAAAATTACTTAAAAGATGTCATTACATTGAGAGAAGTCTGCTTTAGGTTGACAATGTCTTTTTTTTAGTATTAAAAAGCCCCTCTTGTTTCTAATTTAATAAATTAAATATTCATGAGAAATGCAGGCTTCGATCTTTACTGCGGCCATCAGCGGCCATTGCCGCAATGCCCCAGCGAATTGCCGTGATGCCCTTTTAAAAAACACGTACCTTACGGCCACGTTGGCTGTGTGCCCTTTTCCCTTAATTCCATTATTTATAAATATACTAGCAGTTGAGGTCTGATTAATAGCGTGCTTTGAGTTCATATTATTACTTGATTGATTAAAATTACCGGCCAAAAACTGTCTGTGCCGTGCCGAAACGCAACAAAGCTGCCTCGGGCCAACACGCCACTCATGCCAGTTGCACGTATACAGTACGTACATACAGAGCTGCTTGATGTATGAAAACACGTGGGCCTGTACGTGCTAATGCAGCAGTGTGACTGGTTCCCGCTGCACCGCGCCACGCCGCGCACTGGCAAGATGGAAATGCGGTAACCAGTCAATGCAATAGTCGCGCGCGGTGCATGCACACTGCATGCAGTACAGTTGCATGCAGGCCGGACGGCGCGGAATAGACATCGTGAAAATGCCAAGAAAACATCGATGGAGAAAGACGACCTTTGCAAGCTTATACTCACAGAACTTGATCTCTCTTGTCTGTGTATGTATTTCCCGAAATGTATTCATGAAATTCGAGCCCTGTTAAAATTTAATCATACACTTGTCGTGAAATTTTTTTCCACTGCAGTGTTCCCACTACGGTGCCCAGATTTCAAATTCAGATATCGTTTACCATCAAACAGTCAGTGATATAATATCGATACATCATCATGCCGTCCAACAAGAGAGTTAAAAAAAAAGCACGAAGAAGAAATGGCTGGAGCGGTAGCTAAAGTGCCAGCGTTTGGACACTAGTTTAGAAAGTTAAAGTTTAAACACCATTATAAGTCGTCAACAGATAAAAATGTGAAAATGGCCTTGTGCCCTTTCAGTTGGCCTTGGTGCCCTTGTTGATTTGGGAGCCTTTGAGGCCAAGTGGCCTTGCCCCTCTGAAGCTTAAGGTTAAGGCCTGGAAATGAAAAATTCATGATGAGATGTTATTGGCTAGCGCCCTTTCTAGTCATTGAGGGGGTAGTTGCACACGGAGTTAAATGTTAATGTCAAGTTCTTGAGCAGAACTTACAATAATTCTCATTGTATATAAAATAAATACATACTAAGTTAACACCAGAATGAATACAAAATAAATACATACATGTAGTAAACACCAGAATAAATTGTAACATTTTTCAATACCATTTCAGAGAAAAATAGGATTATACATGTAGACATTAAATTTTATAAATAATTTACAGTTGTACTGTACTATCTACAGTTGGGCTATTTCTAATGATTGAGCAGTTCGCATTTCAGGTGCATTTTACTAGGGGCAATTAGAAATGCCCAGACAGGATACGTAAATGTGGCTCGGAAAGGTTGGCCATTACATCACCGTTTTGTATGTATCACATTACCTACATGTACATTTCAACATTTTGATGTGAAATCTATGCACTTTGCCGACAGTGTACCCTGCACAATTTGCGATTTGAACAAGCTACTACTGTGCGTAACAAGAATGCTTTTATCTACATGTACACATAGTTTGTAATGAAAAATGCTCATTGAACACAATAAATACATAGTTAACACTAGAATAAATTGTCACAGCAAAAGAAATGATTATACATGTAGACATTAAAGTTTAAAAATAACTTACAGTTGTACAGTACTTTCTACAGTTGGGCTACCGGTATTTCTAACGATTGAGCAGTTCGCATTTCAGGTGCATTTTACTGGTACATATCTGAACATTATGTTATATAAAATATTGTTAAACTGACTTGTTTCATGTTTTGGGCTTGTAGATGCTGAAAAAACCAAGAAAACTGTTCATGGGTGTTCTTGAAGTCTGGTTCCCTGACCCCACTTAAGATGAAACGAAGCAATTGATACACTTTGGGGAATTGTAAGGTCAGAGAATCAGTCTAGCAGGCTTGTACCCCTTCACAGGTTTGTGATCAATTGCAAAGAAAAGTCAGAATAACTAAATATGAAAAATTAAGAACAGTTTTTGAAAAAAGCCAGTTTTCTCTAACGCTGGTCCGCCGACCAGCGTTGGAAATATACAGTTTTTCTTGAAAATGTCAGCCCACCAAGAGCCATGATTTTAAAGGATGCTTAAGACTGTCAGTCCCTAACAATTCAGTAAGGTATTTCGTGATAATTTGATCATTTAGTTTTTTTATGTTTGCCAATGTTGTATTTTCCCTTTAACTTAATAGGGACAATGAGAAATGCCCCAAACAAGATACATATAAATGTGGCTCGGAAAAAATGGCCATTATATCACCATTTTGTGTGATAATATTAGAATAAATTACATTACCTACATTTCAACATTTTGATGTGAGATGCACTTTGCTGACAGTGTACCCTGCACAATTTGTGATTTTAACAAGCAACTACTGTGTTCTGTACATGTGCATAACTAGCATGCTTTTATCTACATATAATTCGTAATGATAAACCCTGTACAGGGCGAGTCAAAAAAAGCGGAACCCAAACCCCAAAAATTATATTTTATATTTAAAAAAATATATAGCACCAAAAATAATAATGACTGGAAAGCCAATTTCATAAGCTTCTTTTAATTGAAAAAATTACTGAAATTGGTCAATCCGTTAAAAAAAAATCACCATTTTAACACAATGACCCTAAAACCCATCTCGTCCAAAAAATGCGATTTCAGCAATCGTCGTCACAATTCTCTTCAAACATCGCCAGCGATGAAATCTTAGTTTAAACGTTAACAATATGCAACAACAAGTCCTTTTGAAGGCCCGTCTTTAAAGTAGTAGATTTTATAAATCATACTGTTTGCCTACCCAGGGTTGTTAATCAAAATATTGTGTGCTACAGTTGGTGACAGTTGTTGAAACAAGTATTCTGTGTCATTTTCTTTGTTGTTCCAAACAGTCAAAACACACAATAAATTGATTTTTTTTGGACGAGACAGGTTTTAGGTTCATTGCATTTAAATGGTGGTATTCTTTGAACTGGTTGAGCAATTTCAGTAATTTTTTCATCTAAAAGTAGCTTTTGAAATTGGCTTTCCAGTCATTATTATTTTTGGTACTACAAATTTTTTTAAATATGAAATACATTTTTGGGGGTTTGGGTTCCGCTTTTTTTGACTCACCCTGTATTTGACACTGCACAGCAGTCAATAAATTTATTTCAAATGTAACAAATCCTTATTGCTGCATGTATATATTAACATTTTGTAAATTAATTTTTTTTTTTCATTTAAAGAGGTTGTGGAATGCTCGAAGACATTTCCGTCATTTTTTGGGTATATGTAGCCTAAGGTGTGCTGAAATAAAAACGACTATTGTTTCTGTCATGAAATGAGTACAAAGGGTACTTTTGAGAGCTATTTTTCAGGTCCTGTTTCGACCCGAACGTGCAATTTGTGTAAAAGTCGTCGTTGCGGGCAGCAAACAAAACACCGTGAATCGTGACGTAATAAACAGGACTCGTTTATGCTACTCTGCATCGGGAGTCCTGTTTATTACGTCACGATTTACTGTGTTTTGTTTGCTGCCCGCAACGACGTCTTTTACACAAATTGCACGTTCGGGTCGAAACAGGCATGACAGGACTTGAAAAACAGCTCTCAAAAGTACCTTTTGTACTCATTTTATGACAGAAACAATAGTTGTTTTTATTTCATCACACCTTAGGCTACATATACCCGAAAAATGACGGATCATGGGTGATCATTATTTGCATGGTATAATCTACCAGTACTTGTAATAACATTGAAGTACTGCCGCAAAGCCCCACAAACTCCTACATTGTTTGAAATATCACAATGAGATAGATGTGTATGCACAAATGCCAGTGCCTGTGACAGACAGCACTATTTTTTCAAGTTACACCTTGAACATTTAAACTGATATCCTGGTGAAATAAAAGGCAAACGTGTATGTGATGCAACAAATACTTTCAAAAGACATTAACAAAATGCCCTTGTTGGTGAACATTTTATAATATACAGGTATCACAAGTCCTAAGTTCCCCCCAACATTATTCTTAATTAATGAAATAAAAATGCACGATTTCAACAATATCCCAAATGCAAATGACAGAGGACACTCTTCTGCCCATCTTGTGAGAAAATGATAGAAATCCAATCACGCATACCAACACGAAGCTCATTTGAATGAAAAAAGTGCCAATAAAAAAAGTTGCAGTAAATAGCATTGCTCCTATGTACTGGTTTGATCATGATTTAAAAGGTAGAAGGTTAATCCCTTTTGTATCTAATCTAAAAGTAATAGGATTACACAGCATTTTCTTTGTCATCTTCGCATTAAAAGGTCTGCAATTATCTGTTAAGATTACCAAGATTGCGTCTTGTTTTAGTTAAACATCCTTTTAAACAAGGAAACTTTTGTAAGGTAAAGTTATTAATTAATGAAAGTCTACCCTGCCTTGCAGGATCACTCAAACCAGTACATTTACTGCAACTTTTTTTATTGGCACTTTTTTCATTCAAATGAGCTTCGTGTTGGTATGCGTGATTGGATTTCTATCATTTTCTCACAAGATGGGCAGAAGAGTGTCCTCTGTCATTTGCATTTGGGATATTGTTGAAATCGTGCATTTTTATTTCATTAATTAAGAATAATGTTGGGGGGAACTTAGGACTTGTGATACCTGTATGTTAAATTAATAATGTACATGTATGTTAAACTGTAGGGCTAGGCCACTTGATATGATCAAGGGACCAATTGCACTTCTAAAGATGGGCCTATGTAGAGAGTAGCTTTGCTAGAATGTCTTAATTGCAACAACTTGCAAAATGAACTTCAAAATGAATCTTGTCCCTTGTCTTTGATGACCACATAGTCCTCTTTTATTTATCTTGTGAGATGTGAGCTATAAATGTTTTTTTTATCTTTATGTGCTTGTTTCTTTCTCTCTTTAACCCCAGATGCCATGACAGGGTTCCAACTGAGCAGTGATTATTTCCATGACTGCATGCAAAGAATAACTACTGGCCAAACCTGAATTTGGTACGTTGTTTTTGTTTCCCTTTTTTTTCTTTGTTCGCTTTAAAAATGAATTATTCATCCCCTTCAGTATCCCGTTAGCTTTTGTTAATTTGATTACACCCACCCTTAATGTTGTCCAAATTCTCAAATTTGAATTTCCTCATTCTGAATTAAAATTCTGGTGAGACTGCTTGCGTGGCTTATCTAGTCACATAAGACATTCTGCCAGTGTATTCTCCCACTCAGTCTCTGAAGATGCAGATGACTTACCTGGGAACAATCCTTGCCAAAGCCTGTTACTTTCTCATTGAAGTTTTAAAGGCGTTGCTTAAACCTAACCCCAGAGTCTTTGGGACAGGCTTTTGCGCCAGTCAGAAAGCATGCCACACAGTGACTGGCGAAGATCCCTGTTCCTCAGGTAGTAAATAACAACATTCATCCAGCCATTAGATAACAACAGAGCTTGTGTGAACATATAGGCCAAGAAACCGTCATAAGGCTCCCATTGGTTTTGTGAAGCCATTGCAAACCTTATCAGTGTAGGAATCCAGGTGATGATTACAGTCCCTGTTATGATGATGATGGTGGTGGTTGATCTGGTGTTTATTCTCTGCCCACCTTGACCATTGCCTGCTTGGTTTTCAGCAGCAATGCGTCGGGCTTGATTGCGAGCTATGAGGGCGATGCGTCCATACAGGGTGAATATGGTCAGTAGCTGAAGCCCCAACAATACAAGAATCAGATATGCTCTCCAGTCATATGTCTTTGCTACACACATTTTCTTGTTATGAACAATAACCAAAATAGTAGTATTATCAATCCCATATATGATAATGGCGGATACGATGATTGTAGCCCATGCGCTACATACAATTATCTTTGATTTTAACACAGTCATTATTGAGGGGTACCGCAGAGGACGGGAAATAGCAATGTAACGATCCACAGTGAGAAGAAGAAGTGCACCAATACTAAGTGCATTAAAGAGCAATATCATCACCAGATTTGCTGCACACAAAAACTCACCCATGAACCAAGTTCCAGCAAACACTGCTATTAAGTTAAGGATCCACCAAAAGCTGTTGCACAGATCAGACAGGGTGAGAGAAGCCATGAATATTTTGGTTGTTGGCTGGATGCTGGTGACGCGACGCAAAGTGAAAAGCATCAGTGGATTCAGCAGGAGGTTTGGAAAGATGGCGAGGACCATCAAAGTCTTGACAAAAATTTCAAATGGTGTTGATGCAGTTCCAAACTCAGATTCCTCTGTGGTTGAGTTGAGGGATGTGTTTATTTCAGCTGCACTTGGTGTGGTTTCCATTGTTACTTGACGAGTTGGCAGATTTCCTTTAGCAGAAGCAGAGTTGCGGCATTATATGTACCTATTGTTTAAGTACTTTTTTTGAAAGCCTGATCCAAAGGTGAGGTTGGTTGCTCTCAAGAAATATTCATGTTACTATGGACATGTACTTGCGCCAGAAATTAATGTTCATTTGAAGAAAATGCTTCTTGAAGATTTGAAGAAAAACCTTATGGTGTCAAATCCATAGAATACTCCATCAGAATATGTGAAGTTCATTGGTAACGCCAACTACTGGTGCATGTACAATGTACAATGAAAGTTGTATCAGAGGCAAAATATACAGGTACTTCAAGCTGATGACCTGCACCGGTGACTAAGAATTGTGTGCAATCTGATGTGTTGAGGTCTTCTGCGCCAAATCTATGGCTGATAGAAACAGAGTAGTGAAGTGGGCATGAAGCCAAAGGAGACTTTAATTTGCATCCAAAATGTTGAGAACCAACAAACAGGCCACAATACTTGATGAGGAGCCTGAATTCATTTCAAGATGAGTCTTTGTTTGTGCATCAGTAATTGTCATTATGTGCTCTTTGTCATTAATAAAATACAGAGTATCGCTCAAATAACACAATTAAGGAATTGATCAATATGGAGAAGCCAGAGTAATATGGTGATGCAATATTGCATACTGCTAAACGTTTACTTGCATGAGGACAAAAAGTCACTGAAAAGGTTCTTTGCTTATTTTGTAAGTAGCACGTGAATAGCCCACATGGAATAACAACAATGTGGTAACTTTCTTTCCTTTAAAAGTGCCTCACATGGCCGCCATTTAGTCCTACGCCTTAACAAATTTCGAGCAGAGATCCGACGACTCTTTGTTGAATATCAGATGACTATTTACTGTATGCTGACTTAATACATAAAACAGTCACCGAATTAAGCTATAACCCATATGATGGGTTGCACGTACGACGTGTTCTGTGAAATGAAACGCAGGACACGTTGCAGCTGCGACGCATTGTAAGTTACGATGAGTTTCATGAAATCGGTTGCAGGTTTGTTGGGATGGCCCTGAAATGTCTGAGACTGATATATTTGGGTCTGTTAGGGTTCTTCCCAAGCTCATAGGAAACCTTATTTCAATTTGTTGGTCTGCTGTTGATTGTCACATAGCCAATGTCTGAATTGTAACAATTGGAAGAATGAGACTTTGAAATGAATCTTGTCCCCTGTCTTTTGTAACCAAAAAGTCCTCTTTTGTCCGTCTTTTGAGACGCGACCTACCGTATAAGTGTTTTTATATTTGCTTGTTTCTTTCTCTCTTTTAACCAGATTCTATGACAGGGTTCCAACTTAAATGTGATTATTTCCATGACTGCGTGCAAAGAATAACAACTGGCCAAACCTGAATTTGGTATGTTGTTTCTTTTTTTTCTTTCTTTGTTCACTTTTAAAATTCGTTATTTTTCCTCTTCGGTATCCCTTTTTTTTTTTAAATTGGATTATACCCACCCTCAATTAACCCTCCTATGCAAACATATAGTCTGTGCAAAGTTGTTTTTTCAGTTAAAATCAATCGGGTGACTGTTTTTAACAGTTAAGAGCTCCCAGCCTACATAAAGCAGGATTGATTGGCTTTGAGTGATTGTGTAACTTGATAGCTATGCTTTGACTGTAGGTGAATGATAAGCCAGCTGTGCCTACCACTTGCCTACTTTTGTCAGTTGACTGAATTTGACTAATCACAGTGCTTGCTTGAAATATGATATGACTGTTGGTGACTAGCCTGTGTAAAGGCATTGCAGGGAAGAGGATTGATATTATTATACTATCTGTCACTGTTCAAACTGTAGAAGGGTTAATTTGTCCAACTTCATCTCAAATTTGAATTTCCTCATTCTGAATTAAAATTCTGGTGAGACTGCTTGCTTGGCTTATCTAGTCACATAAGACATTCTGCCAGCGTATTCTCCCACTCAGTCTCTGAAGATACAGTTGAGTTACCTGGGAACAATCCTTGCCAAAGCCTGTTACTTTCTCATTGAAATATTAAAGGCGTTGCTTAAACCTAACCCCAGAGTCTTTGGGACAGGCTTTTGCGCCAGTCAGAAAGCATGCCACACAGTGCCTGGCGAAGGTCCTTGTTCCTCAGGTAGTAAATAACAACATTCATCCAGCCATTGGACAACACCAGAGCTTGTGTGAACATATAGGCCAAGAAACCGTCATAAGGCTCCCATTGGTTTTGTGAAACTATTGGCAATGTAATCAGTAAAGGAATCCAGGTGATGCTACATACAATTATCTTTGATTTTAACACAGTCATTATTGAGGGGTACCGCAAAGGACGGGAAATAGCAATGTAACGGTCCACAGAGAGAAGAAGAAGTGCACCAACACTAAGTGCATTAAAGAGGAAATGCATCACCTGATTTGCTGCGCACAAAAAGTCACCCATGAACCAATTTCCAGCAAACAATGCTACTAAGTTAAGAAGCCATGAATATTTTGGTTGTTGGCTGGATGCTGGTGACGCGACGCAAAGTGACAAGCATCAGTGGATTCAGTAGGAGGTTGGGAACGATGGCAATGACCATCAAAGTCTTGACAAGAATTGCAAATGGTGTTGACACAATAACATCTTCTGCTGTAGAGTTTGAAGCAGCAGTCATTTGCTCATTGGTTGTAGTTTCCATGGTTGCTGGATGAGCAGACAGAAACTTGGGTAGATTTATCTAAAATGCTAAATTTGTTTTGCTGTTTGTGTACCTGAATGGAAATGCTGATTGAAGATTGTTTAAAACGTGTCATTCAAGAGGCTGCAGATATATCAATGCTCATTTGATTTCAGGAGCATACACTACAGGTACCCAGGTATGTACCATCTGTAGCAAGGTGAAGCAGTTGGCATACAGTCTGTTGTTATCTCCAACGTCCAAAGTTAGAAATATCTCCATGCAGCACATGTGACATTCAAATCTGCTGTTGGAGTATCCTTCACATGAATCAAGATTAGGTACTTTGGCTAAAATAGAGAAGATGTGAAGCATAATATGTTATGGTCCTTTCCACTCCTTTCCCAGCGCATACTAAACCAACTTTGGCTAAGAAAGGTGCACAGCACAATCTGTTTTTGGTCTCTTATACTACTTCCCCATCACATGACATACTGGCACCAAGTTTGTTTACTGTCAAATATAATGAAGTCTAATGAGATATTAATTTGAATCTGCAGCACACTCAGCCAAATGATTGACATTGATGTAATAATAGGGGCCTGTGTGGTTTTAAGGCGGTTGTTACACAGCGCGTCTATTCATAAGCAAGTTTTTTCCTCTTCTGTCAATTATTGTCCTTTAAGTTTTAGCATCAATCATATACATTTTTGTAAATCAGCCCTTTTTGGATACATATACCGGTATATCATGTCCGATACAATAGTAGGAGGCCATTTTAAAATTTGGGTAATACAAATGATTTTACCCAAACCACATTACATGCCCTCTTATTGGGCCGAATACATAAATCTTGCAGTTTCAAGGTTTTTGCTTACATTTTCATACATAACAATAAGCAATTGCTAAGAAGCAAAAGCTTCTACTTTTAAACAGGTCTGGGAGAACACTTGGAACCAACTCGGCCTCGATGGAACCAACTTGGCCTCCATGCTTAGATCAACATGAAGCTCATTAAACTGACCTGACAGTGGCTGGTACTCTGAAGGAATTAATCCCTGGATTTCTCTGGAATGCTGATTATCCTTAGTTGTTGTTGTCGTGTCGCTACACTTGTCCTATCCACTGCATAATGTCACAGGCTTTGGCAACACGGGTTGAAATCCTTGAGATCCTCTAGTTTGCAAAGCTCTGGTAGGAGGGGGCAGTTTAGGAGGTGCTTCATGGTTGGGGTGCCTCCCCGCAGTCATTGTTGTCCATTGGGTCCACCATTGTTGTACCCCCACTTCTGTATGAGGGCTATATTTGCACTGTCCAACCCCTGTTCTCAGGCAGTTGAGGCAGAGCCAAACTGGCCATGTCTCAACATCTGCATTCAGACGCGGATCTTCTTGGGCGACCTTTGGCCTTGGCCAGCCGGCAGGGGAGGTAAATACCAGGAGTCAAAAGTGATGCCCAGGGTTTTCTTGGCAGATATATGGAACGACAGACAGGTGACATGGCAGGAGATGGCAAGATGATGGTGGTTGAATTGAGAGGTTATTGCAGGTACCGGTAGACATGTCCTGCAGATGTTGACGTGTACCTGTAAAATGTATAGCACGCCATTGTGTCTTTGTGATGTCTAAGCTATAGTCCAAATCTTTGCAAAAGGTTTTGCCGCCAGTCAGTTAGTAATCCAAACAGTGCCTGGCGAAGGTCCTTGTTCCTCAGGTAGTAAATGATTACATTCATCCAGCCATTGGATAACAACAGAGCTTGTGTGAACACATAGGCCAAGTAACCATCATTAGTCTCCCATTGGTTTTGTGAAACCATTGGCGACAACATAATCAGTATAGGAATCCAGGTGATGATTACAGTCCCTGTTATGATGATGATGGTGGTGGCTGATCTGGTGTTTATTCCCCACCCACCTTGACCATTGCCTGCTTGGTTTTCAGCAGCAATGCGTCGGGCTTGATTGCGAGCTATCAGGGTGATGTGTGCATACAGGATAAGAATGGTCAGTAGCTCAAGTGCTGCAAATACAAGAATTGAATTGGTTCTCCAGTCATGTGTCTTTGCTACACAAATTTTCTTGTTATGACCGATAATCAAAATAGCATTATGATCAATGCCATATATGAGAATTGAGGATACAGTGAAGGTAGCCCATGTGCTACATACAATTATCTTTGATTTTAACACAGTCATTATTGATGGATAACGCAGAGGATGAGAAATAGCAATGTAACGATCCACAGTGAGAAGAAGAAGAGAACCACCACTAAGTCTGTTAAAGAGACATTGCATCACCTGATTTGCTGTGCACAAAAACTCACCCATGAACCAAGTTCCAGCAAACAATGCTACAAAGTTAAGGATCCACCATAAGCTGTTGCACAGATCAGACAGGGTGAGAGAAGCCATGAATATTTTGGTTGTTTGCTGGATGCTGGTGACACGGCGTAAGGTGGAGAGCATGAGTGGGTTCAGTAGGAGGTTGGGAAAGATGGCAAGGACCAACAAAGTCTTGACAAAAATTGCAAATGGTGTTGATTCAGTTACAAACTCGGCTTCCTCTGTGGTTGAGTTGGAGGATGTGTTTATTTCTACTGCACTTGGTGTGGTTTCCATTGTTACTTGACGAGTAGGCAAATTTCCTTTAGCAGAAGCAGAGTTGCGGCATTATATGTACCTATTTAAGTACTTTTTTTGAAAGCCTGATCCAAAGGTGAGGTTGGTTGCTCTCAAGAAATATTCATGTTACTATGGACATGTACTTGCGCCAGAAATTAATGTTCATTTGAAGAAAATGCTTCTTGAAGATTTGAAGAAAAACCTTATGGTGTCAAATCCATAGAATACTCCATCAGAATATGTGAAGTTCATTGGTAACGCCGACTACTGGTGCATGTACAATGTACAATGAAAGTTGTATCAGAGGCAAAATATACAGGTACTTCAAGCTGATGACAAGTACCGGTGACTAAGAATTGTATGCAATCTGATGTGTTGAGGTCTTCTGCACCAAATCTATGGCTGATAGAAACAGAGTAGTGAAGTGGGCATGAAGCCAAAGGAGACTTTAATTTGCATCCAAAATGTGGAGAACCAACAAACAGGCCACAATACTTGATGAGGAGCCTGAATTCATTTCAAGATGAGTCTCTGTCTGTGCATCAGTGATTGTCATTATGTGCTCTTTGTCATTAATAAAATACAGAGTATCGCTCAAATAACACAATTAAGGACTTGATCAATATGGAGAAGCCAGAGTAATATGGTGATGCAGTATTGCATACTGCTAAACGTTTACTTGCATGAGGACAAAAAGTCACTGAAAAGGTTCTTTGCTGATTTTGTAAGTAGCACGTGAATAGCCCACATGGAATAATAACAATGAGGTAACTTTCTTTCCTTCAAAATTGCCTCACACGGCCGCCATTTAGTCCTACGTTTTAACAAATTTTGAGCGAGATCCGACGACTCTTTGTTGAATATCAGATGACTATTTACTGTATGCTGACTAAATACATAAAACAGTCACCGAATTAGGCTATAACACATATGATGGGTCGCACATACGACGTGTTCTGTGAAATGGACACAGGACGCGTTGCAGCTGCGACGCATCGTAAGATACGATGAGTTTCATGAAATCGGGTGCAGGTTTGTTGGGATGGCCCTGAAATGTCCGAGACTGATATATTTGGGTTTGCTAGGGTTCTTCCTCAGCTCATAGGAAACCTGATTTCAATTTGTTGGTCTGCTGTTGATTGTCACATAGCCAATGTCTGAATTGTAACAATTGGAAGAATGAGACTTTGAAATGAATCTTGTCCCCTGTCTTTTGTAACCAAAAAGTCCTCTTTTGTCCGGCTTATGAGATGCGACCTACCGTATAAGTGTTTTTGTATTTGCTTGTTTCTTTCTCTCTTTTCCCCAGATTCTATGACAGGGTTCCAACTTACATGTAGCAGTGATTATTTCCATGACTGAATGCAAAGAATAACTACTGGCCAAATCTGAATTTGGTACGTTGTTCCTTGTTTTCTTTGTTCACTTTAAAAATTAATTATTGTTCCCTTCAGTATTCCTTTGTTTTTTTAATCAGGTTTTTGCTTACATTTTCATACATAACAATAAGCAATTGCTAACAAGCAAAAGCTTCTACTACTAATGAGGTCCAAATGTGATGATAGGAATTGGTGGTGGGCCTCATAAGGGGGATTCTTTTGCGTCTCTTGACGGGCAACACGTTTATTTATTTATGAATTAATTTATTGATTTATTAAAGAATATTATTTCAGGCAAAGTACATGTACTGGTACATGTACACGACAGTTTATATACATATGTTTGACAGTTTTTAACTTCATTACTTAAAAATTACAAGTCACAATATTACTTCAGGCAAAATACATACATGTTCAGGACAGTTTGTACGTATATTGGACAGTTTTTAAGTTTTTAAATTCATTACAATGTAAGTCACAACTAAGGAAATGATCAAAAGGACAAACTACAAAAGGCTAAGATACAAGAGACTAAAATACAAGAAACATTCAATTGTAGGCCTACTATATGCAGGATTGCCTTAAAAGCTATTTAAAATATTACTAAATAATAAACAATATAAAAATTTTTTTTCGAGAGGCTCTCCAACTACAACAAACGTTCGATCAGTTAAGCACTGGGGCTGTAAATACAAATGCAGCTCAATATCATTCAGACAGCACTGCCAATCTGCCTGATACTGAGAAGTTATAAGGTGATTTGCCTATCGCAATAGTGTATGGCATGGTCAGGATTATCTCTTAACTTGCCAACTTTACATTAGCTGCAACAACCGAATGTTTGTATACAAAATATGGTACCTGTAAATCAACTCATTTTCCCCCTTTTTTTGTGTTTTTGCACTTTTCAGGGGTGAGAGTTCCATCATTTTGTTAACGCACAGAAGTCCAATGCATCTCTACAGGGGAAAGAATTAAGGGAACTTACACAGCCTCACATGTCCTCCTGGCCATGGCGTGTGATGAAGACACCAGTGACACTCACCAAGATGAGTCCATCATGAGATTCTTGGCTTGGATGGCCACATTTGCGAGGACTTGATGGTAAGACTTTTTGTAATAAATCCTCAATATTTTACAGTATTGTGACAAGGTAGTCTGTTTTAAATGTGTTTCTTATTTCAGGGGTCATATTGTTGCTGTGTTTACTTTTGTTTCTTAATCTTGGACATCGTAGAAACATGAAGTACATCGCATTGGTCCAAAAGTTGGTTTGAAGTGTCTGGTATCTATAAATTCCTGCAAAGCCCAACATTCGTTGTCTTGTGGATAAGGCAGCTAAATTGTCTGTGCTTTCTTGTGGTACCTGTAAAACATCCTTTCAAAATGTATTCTTTGTTGACTGTATTTTCTGACAGTTATGGCCGGAATCTTTGGGACAGTCTTTGGCGCCAGTCAGTCAGTAATCCGCACAGTGCCTGGCGAAGGTCCTTGTTCCTCAGGTAGTAAATAATTACATTCATCCAGCCATTGGACAACACCAGAGCTTGTGTGAACATTAAGGCCAAGTACCTGTCATAAGGTTCCCATTGGTTTTGTGTAGCTATTGCCAACCTTATCAGTGTAGGAATCCAGGTGATGATTAAAGTCCCCGTTATGATGATGATGGTGGTGGCTGATCTGGTGTTTATTCCCCGCCCACCTTGACCATTGCCTGCTTGGTTTTCAGCAGCAATGCGTCGGGCTTGATTGCGAGCTATCAGGGTGATGTGTGCATACAGGATGAATATGGTCAGTAGCTGAAGTGCTCCTAATACAAGAAGTGAATTGGTTCTCCAGTCATATGTCTTTGCTACACAAATTTTCTTGTTATGACCAATAACCAAAATAGTATTATGATCAATGCCATATATGAGAATGGAGGATACAGTGATTGTAGCCCATGTGCTACATACAATTATCTTTGATTTTAACACAGTCATTATTGAGGGGTACCGCAAAGGACGGGAAATAGCAATGTAACGATCCACAGTGAGAAGAAGAAGTGCACCAACACTAAGTGCATTAAAGAGCAATGACATCACCAGATTTACTGCACACAGAAATTCACCCATGAACCAAGTTCCATTAAACAATGCTATTAAGTTAAGGATCCACCATAAGCTGTTGCACAGATCAGACAGGGTGAGAGAAGCCATGAATATTTTGGTTGTTGGCTGGATGCTGGTGACACGGCGCAAAGTGAAAAGCATCAGTGGATTCAGTAGGAGGTTAGGAAAGATGGCGAGGACCATCAAAGTCTTGACAAAAATTGCAAATGGTGTTGATTCAGTTACAAACTCGGCTTCCTCTGTGGTTGAATTGGAGGATGTGTTTATTTCTACTGCACTTGGTGTGGTTTCCATTGTTACTTGACGAGTAGGCAAATTTCCTTTAGCAGAAGCAGAGTTGCGGCATTTTATGTACCTATTTAAGTACTTTTTTTGAAAGCCTGATCCAAAGGTGAGGTTGGTTGCTCTCAAGAAATATTCATGTTACTATGGACATGTACTTGCGCCAGAAATTAATGTTCATTTGAAGAAAATGCTTCTTGAAGATTTGAAGAAAAACCTTATGGTGTCAAATCCATAGAATACTCCATCAGAATATGTGAAGTTCATTGGTAACGCCAACTACTGGTGCATGTACAATGTACAATGAAAGTTGTATCAGAGGCAAAATATACAGGTACTTCAAGCTGATGACCTGCACCGGTGACTAAGAATTGTATGCAATCTGATGTGTTGAGGTCTTCTGCGCCAAATCTATGGCTGATAGAAACAGAGTAGTGAAGTGGGCATCAAGCCAAAGGAGACTTTAATTTGCATCCAAAATGTGGAGAACCAACAAACAGGCCACATTACTTGATGAGGAACCTCAACCCATTTCAAGATGAGTCTCTGCCTGTGCATCACTGATTGTCATTATGTGCTCTTTATCATTAATAAAATACAGAGTATCGCTCAAATAACACAATTAAGGACTTGGTCAATATGGAGAAGCCAGAGTAATATGGTGATGCAATATTGCATACTGCTAAATGTTATACTTGCATGAGAACAAAAAGTCACTGAAAAGATTTTTGCTTATTTTGTAAGTAGCACGTGAATAGCCCACATGGAATAATAACAATGAGGTAACTTTCTTTCCTTTAAAATTGCCTCACATGGCCACCATTTAGTCTTACGTTTTAACAAATTTCAAGCAGAGATCCGACGACTCTTAGTTGAATATCAGTGATATTTACTGTGTGCTGACTAAGTACATAAAACAGTCACCAAGTTGTGCTATAAATACACATATGACGCGCCGCACATACGACGTGTTCTGTGCAATGGAACGCAGGACGCGTTGCAGCTGCGACGCATCGTAAGATACGATGAGTTTCATGAAATAAGGTGCAGGTTTGTTGGGATGGCCCTGAAATGTCCGAGACCGATATATTTGGGTCTGCTAGGGTTCTTCCCAAGCTCATAGGAAACCTTATTTCAATTTGTTGGTCTGCTGTTGATTGTCACATAGCCAATGTCTGAATTGTAACAATTGGAAGAATGAGACTTTGAAATGAATCTTGTCCCCTGTCTTTTGTAACCAAAAAGTCCTCTTTTGTCCGGCTTATGAGATGCGACCTACCGTATAAGTGTTTTTGTATTTGCTTGTTTCTTTCTCTCTTTTCCCCAGATTCTATGACAGGGATCCAACTTACATGTAGCAGTGATTATTTCCATGTCTGCGTGCGAAGAATAACTACTGGCCAAATCTGAATTTGGTACGTTGTTCCTTGTTTCTTTGTTCACTTTAAAAATTAATTATTGTTCCCTTCAGTATTCCTTTGTTTTTTTGTTAATTGGATTATACCAACCCTCAATTAACCCTCCTATGCAAACATATAGTCTGTGCAAAGTTGTCTTTTCAGTTAAAATCAATCAGGTGACTGTTTTTAACAGTTTCAAGCTCCCAGCCTACATAAAGCAGGATTGATTGGCTTTGACTGATTGTGTAACTTGATAGCTGTGCTTCGACTGTAGGTGAATGATAAGCCAGCTGTGCCTACCACTTGCCTCGTTTTGTCAGTTGACTGAATTTGACTAATCACAGTGCTTGCTTGAAATATGATATGACTGTTGGTGACTAGCCTGTGTAAAGGCATTGCAGGGAAGAGGATTGATATTATTATACTATCTGTCACTGTTCATACTGTAGGAGGGTTAATTTGTCCAACTTCATCTCAATTTTGAATTTCCTCATTCTGAATTAAAATTCTGGTGAGACTGCTTGCGTGGCTTATCTAGTCACATAAGACATTCTGCCAGTGTATTCTCCCACTCAGTCTCTGAAGATACAGATGACTTACCTGGGAACAATCTTGCCAAAGCCTGTTACTTTCTCATTGAAGTATTAAAGGCGGTGCTTAAACCTAACCCCAGAGTCTTTGGGACAGGCTTTTGCGCCAGTCAGAAAGCATGCCACACAGTGCCTGGCGAAGATCCCTGTTCCTCAGGTAGTAAATAATTACATTCATCCAGCCATTAGATAACAACAGAGCTTGTGTGAACATGAAGGCCAAGTAAGTGTCATAAAGCTCCCATTGGTTTTGTGAAGCTATTGCCAATGTAATCAGTATAGGAATCCAGGTGATGATTAAAGTCCCCATTATGATGATGATGGTGGTGGTTGATCTGGTGTTTATTCTCTGTCCACCTTGACCATTGCCTGCTTGGTTTTCAGCAGCAATGCGTCGGGCTTGACTGCGAGCTATCAGGGCGATGTGCGCATACAGAATGAATATGGGGAGTGACCCAACTGCCATTATTACAAGCATTACATATCCTCTCCAATCAAATGTCTTTGGTGCACAAATGTCCTTGTTATGACCAATAACCAAAATAGTGAAAGAATTATTCCTATATATGAGAATGGAGGATACGATGATTGTAGCCCATGTGCTACATACAATTATCTTTGATTTTAACACAGTCATTATTGATGGGTACCGCAAAGGACGGGAAATAGCAATGTAACGATCCACAGTGAGAAGAAGAAGTGCACAAATACTAAGTGCATTAAAGAGAGATGACATCATCAGATTTGCTGCGCACAGAAATTCACCCATGAACCAAGATCCAGCAAACAATGCTATTAAGTAAAGGATCCACCATAAACTGTTGCACAGATCAGACAGGGTGAGAGAAGCCATGAATATTTTGGTTGTTGGCTGGATGCTGGTGACACGGCGCAAAGTGACAAGCATCAGTGGATTCAGTAGGAGGTTGGGAAAGATGGCAAGGACCATCAAAGTCTTGACAAAAATTTCAAATGGTGTTGATGCAGTTACAAACTCAGATTCCTCTGTGGTTGAGTTGGAGGATGTATTTATTTCTACTGCACTTGGTGTGGTTTCCATTGTTACTTGATGAGTAGGCAAATTTCCTTTAGCAGAAGCAGAGTTGCGGCATTATATGTACCTATTGTTTAAGTACTTTTTTTGAAAGCCTGATCCAAAGGTGAGGTTTGTTGCTCTCAAGAAATTTTCCGTAATATTCATGTTACTATGGACATGTTCCTGCGCAAGAAATGAATGTTCATCTGCAGAAAATGATTATTGAAGATTTGAAGAAAAACCTTATGCTGTCAAAATCCATAGAATACTCCATCAGAATATGTGAAGGTCATTGGTAACGCCGACTTCTGGTGCATGTACAATGTACAATGAAAGTTGGATCAGAGGCAAAATATACAGGTACTACAAGCTGATGACAAGTACCGGTGACTAAGAATTGTATGCAATCTGATGTGTTGAGGTCTTCTGCGCCAAATCTATGGCTGATAGAAACAGAGTAGTGAAGTGGGCATGAAGCCAACGGAGACTTTAATTTGCATCCAAAATGTGGAGAACCAACAAACAGGCCACATTACTTGATGAGGAGCCTGAATTCATTTCAAGATGAGTCTCTGTCTGTGCATCAGTGATTGTCATTATGTGCTCTTTGTCATTAATAAAATACAGAGTATCGCTCAAATAACACAATTAAGGACTTGATCAATATGGAGAAGCCAGAGTAATATGGTGATGCAATATTGCATACTGCTAAACGTTTACTTGCATGAGGACAAAAAGTCACTGAAAAGGTTCTTTGTTTATTTTGTACGTAGCACTTGTATGGCCTACATGGAATAATTACAATGAGGTAACTTTCTTTCTTTAAAATTGCCTCACACGGCCGCCATTTAGTCCTATATTTTAACAAATTTTGAGCAAGATCCGGCGAATTTTTGTTGAATATCAGATGACTATTTACTGTATGCTGACTAAATACATAAAACAGTCACCGAATTAAGCTATAACACATATGATGGGTCGCACATACGACGTGTTCTGTGCAATGGAACGCAGGATGCGTTGCAGCTGCGACGCATCGTAAGATACGATGAGTTTCATGAAATAAGGTGCAGGTTTGTTGGGTTGGCCCTGAAATGTCCGAGACTGATATATTTGGGTCTGCTAGGGTTCTTCCTCAGCTCATAGGAAACCTGATTTCAGTTTGTTGGTCTGCTGTTGATTGTCACATAGCCAATGTCTGAATTGTAACAATTGGAAGAATGAGACTTTGAAATGAATCTTGTCCCCTGTCTTTTGTAACCAAAAAGTCCTCTTCTGTCGGTCTTATGAGATGCGACCTACCGTATAAGTGTTTTTATATTTGCTTGTTTCTTTCTCTCTTTTAACCAGATTGTATCACAGGTTTCCATCTTAAATGTGATTATTTCCATGACTGCGTGCAAAGAATAACTACTGGCCAAACCTGAATTTGGTATGATGTTTCTTTTTTTTCCTTCTTTTTTTACTTTTAAAATTCGTTATTTTTCCTGTTTGGTATCCCTTTGTTTTTTTTATTTGGATTATACCCACCCTCAATTAACCCTCCTTTGCAAACATACATTCTGTGCAAAGTTGTCATTTCAGTTAAAATCAATCAGGTGACTGTTTTTAACAGTTAAGAGCTCCCGGCCTACATAAAGCAGGATTGATTGGCTTTGACTGAATGTGTAACTTGATAGCTATGCTTTGACTGTAGGTGAATGATAAGCCAGCTGTGCCTACCACTTGCCTTCTTTTGTCAGTCGACTGAATTTGACTAATCACAGTGCTTGCTTGAAATATGATATGACTGTTAGTGACTAGCCTGTGTAAAGGCATTGCAGGGAAGAGGCTTGATGTTTTTATACTATCTGTCACTGTTCATACTGTAGGAGGGTTAATTTGTCCAACTTCATCTCAAATTTGAATTTCCTCATTCTGAATTAAAATTCTGGTGAGACTGCTTGTGTGGCTTATCTAGTCACATAAGACATTCTGCCAGTGTATTCTCCCACTCAGTCTCTGAAGATACAGATGACTTACCTGGGAACAATCCTTGCCAAAGCCTGTTACTTTCTCATTGAAGTATTAAAGGCGGTGCTAAAACCTAACCCCAGAGTCTTTGGGACAGGCTTTTGCGCCAGTCAGAAAGCATGCCACACAGTGCCTGGCGAAGATCCCTGTTCCTCAGGTAGTAAATAATTACATTCATCCAGCCATTGGATAACATCAGAGCTTGTGTGAACATGAAGGCCAAGTAAGTGTCATAAGGCTCCCATTGGTTTTGTTTTCAAAGCTATTGCCAATGTAATCAGTAAAGGAATCCAGGTGATGATTAAAGTCCCTGTTATGATGATGATGGTGGTGGTTGATCTGGTGTTTATTCTCTGTCCACCTTGACCATTGCCTGCTTGGTTTTCAGCAGCAATGCGTCGGGCTTGATTGCGAGCTATCAGGGCGATGCGTGCATACAGGATGAATATGGTCAGTAGCTGAAGCCCCACATATACAAGAATTAGATATACTCTCCACTCATGTGTCTTTGCTACACAAATGTTCTTGTTATGACCAATAACCAAAATAGCATTATGATCAATGCCATATATGAGAACGGTAAATACAGTGAAGGTAGCCCATGTGCTACATACAATTATCTTTGATTTTAACACAGTCATTATTGATGGATAACACAGAGGATGGGAAATAGCAATGTAACGATCCACAGTAAGAAGAAGAAGAGAATTACCACTAAGTCCGTTAAAGAGGTACTGCATCACCTGATTTGCTGCGCACAAAAACTCACCCATGAACCAAGTTCCAGCAAACAATGCTACTAAGTTAAGGATCCACCATAAGCTGTTGCACAGATCAGACAGGGTGAGAGAAGCCATGAATATTTTGGTTGTTGGCTGGATGCTGGTGACACGGCGCAAAGTGAAAAGCATCAGTGGATTCAGTAGGAGGTTGGGAAAGATGGCGAGGACCAACAAAGTCTTGATAAAAAATTCAAATGGTGTTGATGCAGTTCCAAACTCGGATTCCTCTGTGGATGAGTTGGGGGATGTGTTTATTTCAGCTGCACTTGGTGTTGTTTCCATTGTTACTTGATGATTTGGCAGTCTTTGGCAGAAGCAGAGTTTGCATTATCTACTGTACCTATTGTTTAAGTACTTTTTTTTTCAAAAGCCCGATCAAAGGTGAGGTTTGTTGCTTTGAAGAAATTTTGAGTAGTATTCATGTTGCAGTGGGCATGTACTTGCACAGTTACATGTACATAAATAATGTTCATCTGAAGAAAATGCTTATTAAAGATTTGATGAAAAAGCTTATCCCATCATATTCCATAAAATACTCCATCAGAATATGTTAAGTTCATTGGTAGCGTCAACTGGCACAGTGAAAGTTATCTGTGAGACAAAGTAAACACAGGTACTTCAAATCCATTGAGATGTATAGAGTACTGAATTGTGACGTCAGCTGTTATTGTTTTGGTTCACTCTGGTTTGCGCTCGGATGTCTTCACACACTTAAGCTGTACGCGTGGAACAGAATACGCAGTGCACTTCGCTACTCTATAGCTGATGCACAATGTACATGACCTGTATACCGATGACTGAGAACTGGAATTGTGTGCAAGCTGATGTGTTGAGGTCTTCTATACCTCTTCTCTGGCTGATAAAAACAGAGTAGTGGTTATTTATACGAAAATAAATTGATGAGGAGCCTGAATTCATTTCAAGATGAGTCTCTGTCTGTGCATCAGTGATTGTCATTATCTGTATTTTGTCATTAATAAAATGCAGAGTATCGCTCAAATAACACAATTAAGGACTAGATCAATATGGAGGAGCCAGAGTTATATAGTGGTGCAATATTGCGAAGTGCTATACGTTTACCTTGAAGAGGACAAAAAGTCACTGAAACGGGTTATTGCTAGTCACCAACGACTACAGAATTTCATTACTTTATCACATGTATTAAGCATATTGCTTGGAAAGTCGTCTTTTTTTTTTTTTTTGGACAGAAATGCTGTGGTTGATTAAGACTCCATCTTGCCAGCATCTTATGTGATGCAACACAACTCATTTCTGGAAACATCAATCAACTAAAATCCTGTGTTAGTGTAATTAAATGTTGAGGCAATGGCAATGGTTAAAATGACCGCAATGGGGAAACGATGATTGTTATCACTGAAGCATTTCCTACGTTTTCCTAAAAGTTTCCAAACATGTCCTTGATTTTCGAAGTTTCTTCAATTCTGCCTGAGCTATGGCCAAAATCTTTAGCAAAGGCTTTGGCTCCAGTCAGATACAAGTAAAAAAGATCCCTGTTCCTCAGGTACGGTAGTAAATAATTAATCCAGCCATTGCACAACAGCAGAGCTTGTGCATGTTGTGTTAACATTTCAGCCAAGTAACTGTCATATAGGCTACCATTTGTTTTGTGAAGCTATCGCTAACCTGATCACTGATGGAATCCAGGTGATGATTAAAGTTCCTGTTATGATGATGATGGTGGTGGTTGATCTGGTGTTAATTCTCTGCCCACCTTGACCATTGCCTGTCATTGCTTTGTTGACTGTATTTTTGGAAAGTTACGGTCAGAATCTTTGGGACAGTCTTTGGCGCCAGTCAGTTAGTAATCCTAACAGTGCCTGGCGAAGGTCCTTGTTCCTCAGGTAGTAAATAATTACATTCATCCAGCCATTGGACAACAGCATGGCTTCTGTTGAAATATAGGCCAAGTAATTGACATAAGGCTCCCATTGGTTTTGTGAAGCTATTGCCAACCTTATTAGTGTAGGAATCCAGGTGATGATTACAGTCCCTGTTATGATGATGATGGTGGTGGTTGATCTGGTGTTTATTCTCTGCCCACCTTGACCATTGCCTGCTTGGTTTTCAGCAGCAATGCGTCGGGCTTGATTGCGAGCTATCATGGCGATGCGTGCATACAGGATGAATATGGTCAGTAGCTGAAGCACCACCAATACAAGAATTAGATATACTCTCCAGTCATATGTCTCTGCTACACAAAGTCTCTTGTTATGACCAATAACCAATGTAGTATAAAAAGGATTAAACCCATTTATCAGAATGGAGGATACGATGATTGTAGCCCATGTGCTACATACAATTATCTTTGATTTGAACACGGTCATTATGGAGGGATACCGCAGAGGATGGGAAACAGCAATGTAACGATCCACAGTGAGAAGAAGAAGCATACTAACACTGAGCGCAGTAAAGAGGAATAGCATCACCTGATTTGCTGCACAAAGAAAAGATCCCAACAGCCAAGTGTCAGCAAGCAATGATGTTAGGATTAGGATCCCCCACAAGTTTCTGCACAGATCACACAGGGTGAGAGAAGCCATGAATATTTTGGTTGTTGGCTGGATGCTGGTGACACGACGTAAGGTGACAAGCATCAGTGGATTCAGAAAGAGGTTAGGAATGATGGCAATGACCATCAAAGTCTTGGCAAGAATTGCAAATGGTGTTGATGCAGTTGGATAAACGACACCCTCTGTGGTTGAGTTGGAGGATGTATTTATTTCTGCTTCCTGTGGTGTAGTTTCCATCAAAATCTTGACAAAGATTGCAAATGGTGTTGAGACAGTCGTAGCTTCTGCTGTAGAGTTTGAAGTAGTAGTCATTTGTGCATTGGACGTAGTTTCCATGGTTGCTGGAAGAGTAGACAGAAACAGGGTAGATTCATCTCAAATGTTATTTTTTTCCCCTGTTTTGGTCAATAAATGGAAATTCTGATTCAAGATTACTTTTTGTTTTGGCATAAAAGCATGTGTCATTCAAGAGATTGCAGACATGCTTCAGTGCATGTACCATCAGTATCCATAAGAAAGTCAAGCAGTTACACATATAACATTCTGTTTTTTGGTGTCTCCAGCATCTGATGTTGGCAATTTCCCATGCAGCACAAATTATACTTCATGTCTGCTCCAACACAGTGGAGGAACTTGATCGATCGGTACCATGAAGATCACGTACTGTGAGATGGCTAAGAATGGTTTGCCGACTGAACTGTGCTTTTGTGCTGCTTCCTCAACATATACCCGGCAAACATGGTTTGTTTAGTGTGATCAGGTGTAACAGAGTCAACTGATTGTCATTTGGTGCAGTAAGGGGGCTGGACTTGTTTCAATATTGATCTTTCTGCATCTCTTTATTGGTAATTTGTTCCTACATGTATTCTGTCAATTATTTTCAAACGCCTGTATGGTACCCTAAATGGCTGAATTTTGCTCAGACGGCACAATCAATCAATCATACAGCCAGTATACCTTTTGTTTATGATTAACTTGCAAAGCATAAGCCGGATTAATCAATTCAAATATCAAAATGATGCTTATTGTAGCCCGTGTGCTTAGTACAATTATCTTCAATCTGAGCATAGTCATCATTGAAGGATACCATGCAGAGGATGCAAAACGGCAATGTAACGATCCACAATGGGAAGAAGAAGAGAAAAAAATACGAAGTCTGCTGAATGTGTAATAAAGAAATTCAACCAACAACCAGGTTTCAGGAAACGATGCAATTGAGTTAAGGATCCAGCATAAACTGTTGCAAAGATGAGAGGGGGGGGGGAAGAAGCTATGAATATTTTGGTTGTCGGCTGGATGTTGGTGACACGACGCGGGGTGAAGAGCAGCAGTGGATTCATCACATTAGAAAAGATTGCAAGTACCACAAAAGTCTTGACAAAAATTGCAAAAGGTGGTGATGCAGTGCCGTACTCAAGCTCTGCTCTAAAGCTCGATGTAGAGGTTATATTTTCACTGGGTGTACTGGTAGTTTCCGTGGTTACTAGAAGAGTAGTCAAATGTTCTTCATGTCTGGAAACGTAGATCCAACTTTTTTTCGTGAAAGTTTGTGTCATTTACATGTAAGATGCAGAAGACATAGAAATGGTTATTGATTTTGAAGGAAGATGTACTGCCTGTTGAAGTTCAGTTTGTTGTTGCATGTATATTCAACTTAGAATGTCTCTTCTACATGTACATGTAGCACAAATTAAACTTCAGATCTGCTTACTCTGGAGGTTTTTGTATTAAGTCAAGTCCAGATTCATTGGGATGGCTCAAAAATGTCTGGAGACTGATATATTTGGATCTTTTGTGGGAAACCTACCGGTAATTTGGTTGTCTGCTATTGATTGTCATTTGAGATATTATTTGTATCTGTAATGGACAGAGCTATTGTACACATGTGACTACAGACTATTTGTCGGCCGTCTTTTGTAATCACTACTAATGAGGTCCAAATGTGATGATAGGAATTGGTGGTGGGCCTTATAAGGGGGATTCTTTTGCGTCTCTTGACGGGCAACACGTTTATTTATTTATTTATTTATTAATTAAGAATATTATTTCAGGCAAAATACATACATGTACACGACAGTTTATATACATGTACATGTGTTTGACAGTTTTTAAATTCATTAAGTCACAACTAAGGAACTGATCAAAAGGACAAACTACAAAAGGCTAAGATACAAGAGACTAAAATACAAGAAACATTAAATTGTACTATATGCAGGGTTCTCTTAAAAGCTATTGAAAATATTACTAAATAATAAACAATTTAAAAAAAATGATCAAGAGGCTCTCCAACTACAACAAACGTTCGATCAGTTAAGCACTGGGGCTGTAAATACAAATGCAGCTCAATATCATTCAGACAGCACTGCCAATCTGCCTGATACTGAGAAGTTATCAGGTGATTTGCCTATCGCAATAGTGTATAACATGGTCAGGATTATCTCTTAACTTGCCAACTTTACATTAGCTGCAACAACCGAATGTTTGTATACAAAATATGGTACATGTAAATCAACTCATTTTTTCCCTTTTATTGTGTTTTTGCACTTTTCAGGGGTGAGAGTTCCATCAGTTCGTTAACACACAGAAGTCCAATGCATCTCTACAGGGGAAAGAATTAAGGGAACTTACACAGCCTCACATGTCCTCCTGGCCATGGCGTGTGATGAAGACACCAGTGACACTCACCAAGATGAGTCCATCATGAGATTCTTGGCTTGGATGGCCACATTTGCGAGGATTTGATGGTGAGACTTTTGTAATAAATCTTCAATATTTTACAGTATTGTGACGAGGTAGTCTGTTTTAAATGTGTTTCTTATTTCAGGGGTCATATTGTTGCTGTGTTTACTTTTGTTTCTTAATCTTGGACATCGTAGAAACATGAAGTACATCGCATTGGTCCAAAAGTTGGTTTTAAGTGTCTGGTATCTATAAATTCCTGCAAAGCCCAACATTCGTTGTCTTGTGGATAAGGCAGCTAAATTGTCTGTGCATTCTTGTGCTACCTGTAAAACAACTTTTCAAAATGCTTTCTTTGTTGAATGTATTTACTGACAGTTATGGTCGGAATCTTTGGGACAGTCTTTGGCGGCAGTCAGTCAGTAATCCGCACAGTGCCTGGCGAAGGTCCTTGTTCCTCAGGTAGTAAATAATTACATTCATCCAGCCATTGGACAACAGCAGAGCTTGTGTGAACATGAAGGCCAAGTACCTGTCATAAGGTTCCCATTGGTTTTGTGAAGCTATTGCCAACCTTATCAGTGTAGGAATCCAGGTGATGATTAAAGTCCCCGTTATGATGATGATGGTGGTGGCTGATCTGGTGTTTATTCCCCGCCCACCTTGACCATTGCCTGCTTGGTTTTCAGCAGCAATGCGTCGGGCTTGATTGCGAGCTATCAGGGCGATGCGTGCATACAGGATGAATATGGTCAGTAGCTGAAGCACCACCAATACAAGCATTAGATATACTCTCCAGTCAAATGTCTTTGTTACACAAATTTTCTTGTTATGACCAATAACCAAAATAGTATTATTATCAATGCCACATATGATAATTGAGGATACGATGATTGTAGCCCATGTGCTACATACAATTATCTTTGATTTTAACACAGTCATTATTGAGGGATACCGCAGAGGACGGGAAATAGCAATGTAACGGTCCACAGAGAGAAGAAGAAGTGCATGAATACTAAGTGCATTAAAGAGCAATGACATCACCAGATTTGCTGCACACAGAAATTCACCCATGAACCAAGTTCCAGCAAACACTGCTACTAAGTTAACGATCCCCCACAAGCTGTTGCACAGATCAGACAGGGTGAGAGAAGCCATGAATATTTTGGTTGTTGGCTGGATGCTGGTGACACGGCGTAAGGTGGAGAGCATGAGTGGGTTCAGCAGGAGGTTGGGAAAGATGGCAAGGACCATCAAAGTCTTGACAAGAATTTCAAATGGTGTTGATGCAGTTACAAACTCGGCCTCCTCTGTGGTTGAGTTGGAGGATGTGTTTATTTCTACTGCACTTGGTGTGGTTTCCATTGTTACTTGACGAGTAGGCAAATTTCCTTTAGCAGAAGCAGAGTTGCGGCATTATATGTACCTATTGTTTAAGTACTTTTTTTGAAAGCCTGATCCAAAGGTAAGGTTTGTTGCTCTAAAGAAATTTTCAGTAATGTTCATTTTGCAATGGACATGTACTTGCGCAAGAAATTCATGTTCATTTGAAGACAGTGCTTATTGAAGATTTGAAGAAAAAGGTTATGCTGTCAAAATCCATAGAATACTCCATCAGAATATGTTAAGTTCATTGGTAACGCCGACTACTGGTGCATGTACAATGTACAATGAAAGTTGTATCAGAGGCAAAATATACAGGTACTTCAAGCTGATGACAAGTACCGGTGACTAAGAATTGTATGCAATCTGATGTGTTGAGGTCTTCTGCGCCAAATCTATGGCTGATAGAAACAGAGTAGTGAAGTGGGCATCAAGCCAAAGGAGACTTTAATTTGCATCCAAAATGTGGAGAACCAACAAACAGGCCACAATACTTGATGAGGAGTCTGAATTCATTTCAAGATGAGTCTCTGTCTGTGCATCAGTGATTGTCATTATGTGCTCTTTGTCGTTAATAAAATACAGAGTATTGCTCCAATAACACAATTAAGGACTAGATCAATATGGAGAAGCCAGAGTAATATGGTGACGCAATATTGCATACTGCTAAATGTTTACTTGCATGAGAACAAAAAGTCACTGAAAAGGTTCTTTGCTTATTTTGTAAGTAGCACTTGTATGGCCTACATGGAATAATTACAATGAGGTAACTTTCTTTCCTTCAAAATTGCCTCACACGGCCGCCATGTAGTCCTACGTTTTAACAAATTTTGAGCGGAGATCCGACGACTCTTTGTTGAATATCAGATGACTATTTACTGTATGCTGACTAAGTACATAAAACAGTTACTGAGTTAAGCTATAAATACGGTACACATATGACGCATCGCACATACGAGGTGTTCTGTGAAATGGAACGCAGGACGCATTGCAGCTGCGATGCATCGTAAGTTACGATGAGTTTCATGAAATCCGGTGCAGGTTTGTTGGGATGGCCCTGAAATGTCCGAGACTGATATATTTGGGTCTGTTAGGGTTCTTCCCAAGCTCATAGGAAACCTTATTTCAATTTGTTGGTCTGCTGTTGATTGTCACATAGCCAATGTCTGAATTGTAACAATTGGAAGAATGAGACTTTGAAATGAATCTTGTCCCCTGTCTTTTGTAACCAAAAAGTCCTCTTTTGTCCGTCTTTTGAGATGCGACCTACCGTATAAGTGTTTTTATATTTGCTTGTTTCTTTCTCTCTTTTCCCCAGATTCTATGACAGGGTTCCAACTTACATGTAGCAGTGATTATTTCCATGACTGAATGCAAAGAATAACTACTGGCCAAACCTGAATTTGGTACGTTGTTCCTTGTTTTCTTTGTTCACTTTAAAAATTAATTATTGTTCCCTTCAGTATTCCTTTGTTTTTTTGTTAATTTGATTATACCCACCCTCAATTAAACCTCCTATGCAAACATACATTCTGCGCAAAGTTGTCTTTTCAGTTAAAATCAATCAGGTGACTGTTTTTAACAGTTAAGAGCTCCCAGCCTACATAAAGCAGGATTGATTGGCTTTGACTGATTGTGTAACTTGATAGCTATGCTTTGACTGTAGGTGAATGATAGGTCAGCTGTGCCTACCACTTGCCTACTTTTGTCACTTGACTGAATTTGACTAATCACAGTGCTTGCTTGAAATATGATATGACCGTTGGTGACTA